AGCTTGAGCAACATTTAATAAATGTTAATGTTTAGCTTCCATGATAAATTGTGTTAAAACTTGTCAATATAGAAATATTGAGGTAAAACTATTTGACTGGTATAGTATTAATGAAAATCAAGTTCTTTAACATCATCAGATCTAAATTGCCTAACAGTATGACCAAATTACGTTTGAACCATTGTAAAAAATTTGGGAACAATGTCTTTTGGCATCTAATTTAGTATTAGAAGAAGTGCCCATGTAAAATGTATAGAGTCATCAACAATCGTGGGAAAGTATCTAGAACCAGAAAAACAATTGTTAGGATTTCCATATGCCACAATATGTTAAATCAAATGATTTTTTAGAAAAATGATTATGGAAAATGAAAGTTGAAGTTTCGTTGTTTCACAAAGACACAAATATAACATGAACCCAGTTCATTACATGACAAGGAGATAATTAATAAATGTTCACTAGTATCTTATAGACTTGGGCAACACATGCAATAATTTAAAGATAAATATTCCTCAAGTGTCAGTTGATGTTCTATTCTAAAAATATAAGATCATTAACACAATTAGGTCTACCAATCCTTATCTTGTGATATAGATGTTAAATCACTAGATAATTAAAAGAGACAAACTTGAACTTGTGAATGGGCTGTCAAAGCAGTCATACATCACCAACTAAATTATTAGCATTGATAGTGTCATTAGGTGATTTAATAATTGAGTTGTATATCAATCTCAAAGAAATTAAAACATTTCTATTATAATAAGTATGTGTTGTAACAGCAATATCAACTATCCAGATTGTCATGGAGTGATAATTGGAATTGTGAATAATTAAGAGACATGTACCTGTCATATTAGATGTTGCTGGCATATCTTGTGCTTTGTTCATAATAATTGATGATGCTAAATGTGTTGACTACATAGTCATGATTTGCTAAAATTAGTATTGAGTGTGGTACTTCAAGAAATTTTCAATTGTGCAAAAAAATTGTTTAGTTTGATTTGTGACTCTAGACTTTTAAGAAACTTGGTTTATAAATATTTTTTGAATTTTATTGTTGGCCTAGTGGATAACCATGAAATTTATAGGATTTGTCAATAGTGTGCTCATTAAATTGACTGTAAGTACAGAAAGGGCCATCTTTTTTCTTACCATCATTTTAATTTTTTGTATTTCTGTAATTCTTTGTATGTTTAGGATGAATGACTCTTGCACAAAAATGAATAAAGTTAGAGGTATCAATATTTGGATCTAGAATATTGATATATTTTATCAATGTTCCTCTTATGAGATCCATATAAATAGTTGATTGTTAGGAGGAATGGTATTATGGAGTAATAATTAAGCTCAAATTTGAGCTAATGAATCATTTTTAATCTTATTAGAAAAGTCATAGCATATTCTAATCAAGAAAAGTTGAACAAGGTCCTTTAATTCACTATAAGTTCATTTACATGTGAACATGAATCTTTATATTCTTCAAATAAACTCTTTCATTTTGTGAAACAAGATACAATTGAATCTTGATCCCATCTATGATTCAGTAATTTAAGAAACAATTGAATTAATCTAGGCCCATTAGTATATTAAAAGTGATATCTAAAATCTTTGAATTCTCTTTTGTTGATTCTGAAAAATGATATTAGTAGATATATCTTATGATATTGAATATAGGACCCAAGATATGATATTTTTTTTTCTTGATGACATAAGGGTGACATCAATTTCATTGGGTTTTGTTATTGATCCATCAACAATGCCAAACTTATTTTCACTCACAGGATAATTAACATATGTTGACTCCAAGATTCATAATTATCAAAGGGTGATTAGTGGTTATGGTACCAAGTTTGGTGAAGAATGATCGAGACGAAGGATCAAAGCATCAATGAAATTATTCAAGTCTTGACTGATATGTTGAGATATATTTTTCATTTAGGATCTCCATCCTACAAGGAAAGTTTACTGAGTTAGATAATCAAGGTTTTCAATCAAAAGGTGAAAGTAATCAATCATCCCAAGTCTCATTTACATCTACTATCTCCCATAACAATTATGGAGAACTTGTAATACGGTAACAAAGCAGGTTTGTCCTACTAGGGTTTGGAGAAATTTTGTTTGATACCATACTATGACTAGATGGAAAGTCTTGTCCAAGAAAAAAGGAAGGGGACAAAAATATGCAAAAATTGTTCCTCAATTAGCCTAGAATTCCCCTTGAAATAGTAGATTGTCACATGCATAGGGTCATATGAGAGGTACTTAAAACTAAGTGACACATGAACTTGGTCACCAGAAGTGCTTAGTTATTTTCCTGCAAGGTGAGTCAACTTAGTTCCTTTTTTCTGATAATTTAACCATTGCAAGTTGTTTAAACTTCTTTCTTCTTACCAAATGAGCTGACTTGCTCATTACAACTAGATAATGAAGCTGATCACCAATGAAGATATAGTCTAGGCTCACATAGTTATGTTAAAAATAGAAAATTATGATTTTGCCATCTTTCCCCCTACAAGTTTCAAAACATAACTTATTAATGAGTTCATTGATGGGTATATGCTCTTTCAATATATATGGAAAAAGTCAACAGGTGTTGCAAATTAGGTATGAAATCACATGAGAGTTGGAAAAGAGCTATGAAAATACTTTTCCAATATTTCATAAAGTTTTAGCACAACCTTGGTATCTAGAAATGACTAATTTTACCCTAATTTGCACCTTATCAATATCAAAATTAGAAAGCCTCCAAGAGTTAATAGTATTAATTATTTATCCCAAATAAGTATTTTAAAACATAATTATGATAAATAAAAGACTAAAAATGCCAAAATGACCCAATGTTGTGGCACGTTAAAGGTTGTTTTGATCATGCTTTCCTCCATTCTAGGAGATCCTTTCTTTAAAGAATTTTACTAGTATATATATTTTTTTGATAGAGGTCTTAAAACTAGACTACTTATTTAAAGGATAACTCAATGTAGATAAGTTTATTTGGTCCCAAAATGATCTCCTTAAGCTTTTTCCATCCTTGTAGACTCAAGAGATCCTTTGTGGGTCCAAAGATTATCTCTAGTGCTCTTGTTGGACTCAAATCAAATATTGTTGACTCCCTCTCTTGTCTAATTGAGCTACTGATGAAATCTTCTCTGCCAATGGCCAAGGAAGTGATATTAGGGATTGATTTTTTCTCTTTCATCTGTTCTAGCGTGAGTGCGAGTGTTGGAAAATATTCTGCAAGGGGCCCCTTGGTTATGTTGACCGGCTGATGGCCGGTTGGTGAAAGTTATCTTATGTGCTGCCTCCTCTCTCCTGCCCATAGCCCCCCTTGGTTTCGTGAAAGTTCTCCTTTATCTAATGGTCACTGGCGGCTGAAGTTCTACAGGAGGATTGGTTGGTCCCACGGCGTAGGCTAGAGAGAGAGGGGGAGAGAGAGAGAGAGAGAGAGAGAGGGCAGCAGTGCCCATGCTGGGCCTGTGTGTCACGCCGGCCAGCCCGGTTGGCTCTTCAAGCCCAAGGATGATTTGGTGCATTGAATGTGGTCGGCATTTCTTTCGGCGCAGTTCCCGGCGCCGCCCAGAAAACGTGATCGAAATACATTGTATCCGGACGATTTTCCTTCTGACTTAAAACAGTTGGCGAGACCCCGCCTTGAGCGCCTCGTTTTGACCGTCGACGGTTCTCGACTTCCCTTCTTAGATTGCGTCCGCTGAACCGTCGGATCTCTGTCGGAATCTCCGACGACCGGATCTGCACGGAGACCAGTCCACGTCACGCCGGTCTCCGGCCGACCGCGCCCCAAAAGTTCGAGGATGAATTTCTCTGTCCGACGTGGCCGCTCTGTGGCTAGCCGATGTGGACGTCCCATTTCGACGTGGCCTACCCCAGCCTTGAGAGGGGTATTTTGGGAAGATCCTACGGCGTCAGAATCCGCGGCGCTCGCACGTGCACCGTAAGTGCTGGCCGCCCCTCATCCATCTATAAATGACCCTTTCATACGACGGCCACAAGCACCTCCACCACCAACCTTGGTGATAACTGCGGAACAGGAAGAAAAGGAGGGACGGCTACGGAGGGAAGAGGGGGTCTTCGCTTCGACCGGTGGAGCTGCCCTCTTTCTCTTCATCGTCTTCGCTCTTCTTCCTTCCTTTCTCTTTGCGAGTGGGTGGTTTGGTCGTCACCTACCGGGGTGGGTTGTTTGGATTGGGGAGCGGAGCGATCTGAGAAGTCGCGCGTCCGATCTTTTGGCTCTCGCCGCACAGAGGAGTTTCTCGGAGTTTCACGGTGAGATGCGGTCGCAATCTGCTTTGTTGGGATCTATTGATTTGGTTGAGAGGAGGTGATGCTTCCGATCCCAAATCTAGTCCGTTGATGCGTCGCTTGGCTTCCTTTTCGATGTTGAGGTTGTTTGGCGGTGGTGCCCGTGTTTTCGCCGTTTCACCGTGATGACCCAGCCGGATTTCGACAGAATGTGCTTCGGATTGACATTTGATAGTCGGCCGGGCGCTCCCTTTCTCGTTTGACATAAATATCGCGTCGTTGTTCCACGGAGACACGGAAGTCTGACGAGGTCTCCTCCTGGGTTTATGTTGGAAAATAAATCCCTTCTCGCCTACGTTTCATTCCATTTGTCGATAGGGACAACAAGCCGGGATGTGGTTTGGTTTGGATATCATATCCTACGAGGGCCGCCGGGGGCCAGCGCTTCTCAATAATTTCCTAACCTGTAATGGGAGGAAATTCCCTTGGTCGAGCACATTTGAAATGCGGCAGGCTAAACCTGATTAGCCCATCCCATCCATCTCCCCGGGAAATTTATCCGCATTCTCTTTTGATTTGATCGTATTTTACCCATTTCAGCAAGACTCTGTAGTCGAATCGAACCATGATTATTGCATACGCTCTGTACTCTTTTTTTTGCTTTATTCTCTTGGGGGATGTGTGGTCCGGTAATCGATGGAAGACTAATAATGCCCCTTTTCCCTAATGTCAGGTCGTCAACCATGGTTTTGTGGGTCTTTGGATACGGCTCATTGGTGTGGAATCCTGGCTTTGACTTCGACGAGAGCATAATCGGCTTCATCAAGGACCATAAGCGTGTTTTCACAGTTGGTAAGACAGTGTTCTAATCACACTACTCTGTTTTTCGAGTGAGAGTTTGATGTGGTCCAAGCTTCTCTCGATTGACCTTTTTATGAATTTTGCCCATGTTACTTTTAGCTTGCATAGATCACAGGGGCACGCCAGAGCATCCAGCTAGAACGTTGAACTTGGAGCCCAGTGAAGGAGCTATTTGCGTGAGTACAGATGCCATATTATCCAATATACCATCTACATACGAATCGCCAAGAAGACTCGATATGAATCTTTTGCAGCATCTGTTCTCCCATTCCACTGTCCCATTCTTTGTTGTACTGAGTGAACTTGCTTGAACTGTCTCTGCCAGTGGGGCGTTGCGTACTGCATCAAGGGTGGGCCAGAGAAGGAAAAGGCAGCAATGAGGGTAATAGTGCCGATCTTTATGGGCTGAAGTCTGCGCCTTGCTGGCATGCCGATCTATAACTCTTTATAATTCCTTTTGCAGTATCTCGAGAACAGAGAATGTGAGTACGACCTCAAGTCCCATGTAGACTTTTACACGGTGAGTTGAAGAGATTATATTACGACGATAATGATGATGATGATGATGGTGATGATGATGATGATGATGATGATGATTATTATTATTATTATTATTATTATTATTATTATTATTATTATTATTATTATTATTATTTTGTTTATCATTGCATCATGTAATGCTGTATTTGTTTTCCGTTCTTCGTTCAGGAGGAAAATGCTCTGAAGCCCGCTGTGACTGGAGTCTTAGTGTAAGCGCGCCTTCCCACCAGTCTCCACTCCGCCTGGAAACAGATGGTCGTTGACTTTAATCAGAGGAGAGGTCCCAACGAAGTCTAACTCGCTTTAGCATTTCAGGTTCGTCTCCACACCCGATAAAGAAGTCAACAGATACTACATAGGCCCAGCACCTTTGGAAGACATGGCAAGGTAAAGTCTCTCTACGCCCAACTCTCTCGCCACTGCTCTCTGTCTCCCTCCTCCTCCTCCTCTCCAGTCCGCTCCCTCACTGTGGTCTCCTCTTTTGCGGCTGTTCCAGGCAGATCGCCACGGCCAGTGGCCCCTGCGGCAACAGCAGAGACTACCTCTTCTCGCTCCAGAAGGCGCTGTTCGCCATAGGTAATAATTAAGGGCCCACATTTTTCATTCCAGAAGGCGTTTGGTTCTTTTGTTCTAGCAGACCTGGAGATCATCCATCCTTCCTCCCACGAACCAGGCCATGAAGACGACGACGTCATCGAGCTGGCGGACGAGGTCAGAAGGGTGGTGGCGGCACTGCAAGAGATGAAGGTGTTGGGCGTTCAGATGGCCCTGAGGACCCACCTCCCTTCTGCTGCTCACCTGTCTCCTCTCGCGGAGGCCGCTGCCGTCATGGACTCGAGATGACGCGTCGAGCGTTGACCCTATGAGCTAATTCCCTTCTTCGTTATTTTTATTTCCTTTTTTTTTTAACGCTTCCTAGCGTAATCCCTTCTCTTCTCCTTTCCCCGGGGGCCATTTAACATAAAGTTGTTTACCCGCCCGCTGACATCGGAAATCTCGGCGATGTTGACTTTGCCATTCGTTGTATTGGACTAATTCAACGGTCAACTACTGAGAAATTGAGACCTCGCACGTTTGGTAGTCACCACCCCCCCACCCCCTCTCTCTCTCGCTGTGGATAGAGGCTTCTCAGGGGGCGCATGGTAAAAAAACCCGTTTTTCGACTCAGAAGTTGGTTCGGACCCCGACTCGGACGACTCGGACCGGTGACGTCACCGAGGCCTGTCCTTTTAAGTATGATCACGGCTTCCAGAGAGCTTTGGGAAAAACCCTAACGAGCCGATTTTCTTCCCTCGCGTCATCCTCTTCCTCTTTCTGCTGCTCTCTCCGGCGCCCCCTCCGTCTTCTGCTGCGATGCCCCTCAATGAGGCTCGGCGCACAGATTTTTGGTTCGAATAACGAACGAGCGATCAATTCGCGAGTGTCAACCGTTGTCCTTCGTTTCCTCCCTCCCTCCCTCCATCTGCTTCCTCGAGGTTTTGATTTCCGCAGTCTCACGCGCCCGACATGCCGCGCGGCAGAGAAGACCCACCTACCCCTCTTCTGCGCGCGTCAAATGGGAGTATCCAATCTGAGGAAATGTCCTAATTCTTGGCAGGGCTTGAAGGAAATGTTCCTGCTGTAAATATGGACAGAAATTCTCTACGGGGAGGTATTTAGGTGGCTGCCCTGCGAGCTCTGGGCTTCCATAAAGAACCTCCCTACATCGCCCCAAATCATCTCCATCCTTCGTCTCATGCCTGCACAGGTTTGCAGGAATCCACCTCCCTTTCCGCCTCTCTCCCGGTGAAGAGGTCCGGCGGAGACGATTGCTGCCGGGTGGAGACGACGGCGACAGCGAGGGCGGCAGATCTTCGCCGCTAGAAGATTGACCATTACTCATGAAGTGAACATCTCCAGTAGAAAGAGAATCCTCACGGTGGAAGAAATTGACGATTTTTGGGACAATAATACCATTTTTATTGATATTGCGCAAAATATTAAACAAGATTATTAGCGTATGGTCTGAGATATGACGAAGGTCTGGCGATTCCTCACACAGCTCACTGCTAGAGAGACGGGGCGGGTCGGTGGGTGGGTGTGGGCCTGTGGGTCGGGCTAGGTTTGTTTTTCTTTTTGGGCTTTGGTTGGGTTGGGCCGGCCCGAGCAATGCCCGTCGCGGAGTGGGGGACGAAGTTGAGTTGGTTGCAGGTCGACCCTGGAGATTCCAGATTTGCGTGGATGGGCCTGATACTATTCGAAATGTTCGTTGTTTCCACCTTTTAGGGGTTTTCTTTGGACGCGACGAGTTGCTTGGAGGAGGGGGTAGTCGAGTAAGGGGGTGCGTGCGGGAGGAGAGGGAGGAGGGAGGAGAAGGATAGGGGATCCGGTTGGTTTGGAGCCATTTGGAGTGGCCTGTGGAGGGGGCAGGCAGATGGCGGTAGCGACAATCGCGGCGCCGAGCTCGGCCGGCGGGCTGCTGGCAATGCTGAACGAGCCGCACCCAGAGCTGAAGCTGCACGCCCTCGGCAACCTCAATTCGCTCATCCATCTCTTCTGGCCCGAGATCTCCACTAGTGTCCCTGCCATGTGAGTGAATCCGCTCCTTCCGCCCTTGCGTGCTTCTCTGTTTTTTCTCTTAATTATTTATTTTGGTTTATATGGGTGAATTTCCGTACTATTCATGCGGTGGAGATAATTCGATAGGGTTTTAGAAGCTTGCGTTGCACTCCGGGCTGTAGGTCTTATGGGTCCTCTCTGAACGAGGGAAGGAAAATTACTTAGTGTTGTAGTGTGGGACTGCGGGCCGGGAATTCGGGAGGATTCTGCTAAAATGCGGGTGTAGAGTGTATACAGAGGAAAGAAGAATGTCAATGTGGCCTTGGTCCTTTTTGAACTTTTTTCCTTCCCTTTTTTTTCTTTTTTATCGTGCTACGAACTCTGTATCAGTTAGGCTGTGTTCTGAACCGTATTTTCACTCTTTTCCTTTTTTAACCGTAGTGAGAGCTTGTACGAAGATGAAGAGTTCGAGCAGAGACAGCTAGCGGCACTGGTGGCATCCAAGGTTCAGTAATACCTTTCATTAAATGTGTTAAGCCACGGTTTCGGTGCCTCCGTAAGCTTGTCTTTTTAAGAACGTTATTGATGACTAAAGCTCTCATTTTCCAATCCTTGTTTCATATCACTTTGATTTCGACCTGCCATACTCAACATATGCAAATGCGAATCCCAACATAATTAAGTGCCATTTAGAGTGTTTCGTCCACTCAATTGGGCTTCTTGGTTGAATCATCAGAGTCATATTATAGTCTCTGGTTCTTATTTTGCCGATGAATATCTCGGTTTACAATTTCGCTTTGGAGAATCAACCTCCTAAGTTATAAGGATGTGTGTAGATGTCGTACTTTCCCTTGTCAGGGATGATTTGGAAGACCTGTGAGCATATTGGTGCTCCGAAAAACTTTGGACCACATAAGATAGCATTGAACAAATATTTAATGAGCTGTATCTTTTTCATGGAGTTATGTCCTGATGATGTTACGATGATAATGTTTGAAGAAAAATCATATGCCAAATTATGATGCCATATAGTTTGTTCTTCAGTGATCACGAACTCTCACGTGTACGTGATCGTCCAGTGATCATAAGCGGCCAATTATCTGCGATGACCTTGACTTGTGTAAATAAACTTCTGTATTTTCCCCTGGCTCAAATTGTGGTCGTAAGGTATATCTTGTTTTCTCGACAGCAACACCTACAGCCTTTATTTATCATGCACATCTTCCCTTACTTGAGTGTCTTACAGTTATCGGATCAGAACTTTTTTGGGTGATAGTGGCCAAAGTTGATGGCTTTAATCAATTAATGAAGAAGCATCTGATGTGCTTAAGAGAATCCTAGTCTGATTCATGATATATTTGTTTAGTGAGCCAAAAATTATCGTTTGATGGGGCAATTAAGGGCTCAATCGACCTGGAGTTGGCCGATTCTAGATTAGTCAGCCATAAAACTGCCAATTCTGGATAGGGGGACCAGAAAACACCAACTTCTGTATGGATATGCTAAATTGATCAGTCCTCGGCAGATTAGCCAATCCCTGGTCGATTCAACCCAGTCTAGCTGCCCAGCACTTTGGCTGGCTAGAGAAGGTTATAATAAATTGTGAAGGGTAACTTATATTCCATCTGTCTTTTTGGCGGATCTGATTCTGAGCGTAATCTGGATCAGATAGAACCTGGGATCTCTGACAACCTGATCTGATATGAATCACCATGAATGCAGCATGACGATAAACTTTTTGACACCCATATGCATTACTAACAGAGTAGAAATAAGGCGTACATCAAGGGATTATATACAGTGATGAAAGGTGCATGACTGTGCCATTTTTAGGCAACAATTCATACTTTCGACTTCCTACTCAATTCCACGGCCATTTGTTGTCACGTTTTCATATGTGAAGACTGTCAAATAATTCTCTTTAAATGCATTCATGCCTGGATGATACTGTCTTTACATGTAAAGGTAGGACTTTTGTACTGGGTGGATATGAGGGCAGGTCGACTTGGAAATTGGAACACGGTATAACTAATTGCAAAAAAAAGAAATATTTCTTTGTTTAGGTCTTCGAATTCTTTCATCTTTTGATTGATTGGTAATCAATTCTCTGGTCTGAGTACGCTACTTTCAGCTCTTTTTTATTGATGATCTGTTTGACTGAAACGCCATATCATGTCTATGTTGTGGTTGTAGCTGTTGTGGCATTCTTTTTTTGTTTAATCCTGTAAATCTTTGCTGAGCTGGTGTCTCTCATGAAAACTGGAGATAGCGTTGTCGTTGATCTAATATGAGCATTACTAACGGATGAAGTTGTTATTCGCCAGTTAAAAATTCCATTTTCTTGAGTTCACTCCACTTGGCATATTCTACTTCCGTTGACATTGATCTTAATTTCTCTCTTTCTAACAGGTCTTTTTCTACCTTGGTGAACTTAATGATTCCTTATCCTATGCGCTTGGAGCTGGACCGCTATTTGATGTTGCTGATAATTCTGACTATGCTCAGACTCTTCTTGGTAGGAGTGGCACTTCGTTCATTGCTGGTCTTATTCTCTTTTGAGATGAATCCTGATTTATCTCCCCCTCAATTTCAGCCAAAGCTTTAGACGAATATGGAACCCTTAGATCCCAAAATTTTAAGTCAAATGAAGAAGCTGCTAAAATTGATCATAGGCTGGAGGCAATCGTGGAAAGAATGCTTGATAAGTATGTTACCTTTCGTTCTATTCATCTATTTCTATTGATTTATATTCATTTTGCCAATAAACATGATCTTATTTCCTTAATTTGTACTTTCTGCTGATATTTTTCATCTTGTAGGTGTATTTCAGATGGAAAATTTCAACAAGCAATGGGAATGGCTCTTGAATGTAGACGATTGGATAAACTAGAGGAAGCAATAATGAGCAGTGCTAATGTCCATGGTGCGCTCTCATATTGCGTTAACCTCTCCCACTCCGTTGTTAACCACAGAGAATATCGTTCTGAGGTATGAATATTTTCCCATTATTATGGTCACAGAGAAGCAATTAAATGTAAACTATTTTCTTCATTAAATACAAACGCTCCTTCAAAAACCATAGCATGCCATTGTATTTTACTACCCCATTTCCCAGAAGAAAAGTTGTGCTTCCCATCAGAACCATATCCTTGCTTCCACACATCTGAAAAAAACCACAGTGCTTATTTTCTTAACTTTTAACTCTTAAGAGATCTCTGGACAAGTGATTAGTTGATAAGAATGAATATTGGTTCCTTTTACTCTTTTTGAGAACTACTATTTTATATTCTTAGTGAGGATCTGCCATCCCATTATCCACATGTAATGTACCAACAATTAGAAAGTTTGAAGGTTACCTGGGTGAAAATGGATGGCATGTATGCTGTTCACTTCACTAAATTTTCTAAGAAGTGGTTACCCATTGGGAAGACAGAGAATCACATAGGATTCCTATTTTTTTTTCTTTTGGGTTATCTGCCATTTTGATGTCTATTACAGTAAGAGTATAGAATCTTATTTGGCTAACTGATGACGTTGTGCCATTTTTTCTCTAAAATAAACTAATGTTTGAGGCTACTTAATGACTTTGGGTGATTAATTAATATCTATCGGCTAGTTATTTTTGTGGCACTTTGTTTACGTTTAGATTATCTGTGATATTGACAGGAGGCGCAAATGATCTAGAGAGGGTCCTACTTATCCATCTCCATTTTCACAATCTTTATGCATCACTGTTGCACTGTCTGGCAGGTTCTTCGGCTTCTTGTTAAAATTTATCGAAGATTGCCTTCTCCTGACTACCTGAGCATCTGCCAGTGCCTTATGTTTCTAAATGAGCCAGAAGCTGTTGCTACCATACTTGAGAACCTTATTTTGTCTGGATGCAAGGTACTTTCCCGGTCACCTCCTTAATAAACATTTATTGGCTTTGAAACTATGAAAAATTGGCTAATGAACCTTGTGTATATTTTTCAGGATGATGCTCTTCTGGCCTTCCAGATAGCCTTTGATCTTGTAGAAAATGAGCAGCAAGCTTTCCTGTTGAAAGTGAGAGATCGTCTCCCAAAAAACAAGTCCCCTGATTCAAACGAACAATCTTCAGAGGTCACCAACGAAAGAACTGCAGGGCCAGATTCTCCAAATGCAGTCGCTACAACAGCTGGTGCTGATCCGACAAATGCTGCAGAGGTTATTAGTGTGAATGGTTCCCATGCTTCAGATGGGATTTCTCATGAGGTCGATTCTAGTGATTTTGCAAAACTGAAGGGTATCTTATCTGGACTGACGTCAATACAGCTAAACCTGCAATTTCTGTATAGCCATAACAGGTCAGAGGCAGATATATATGGCCAATGCATTTTATTTTTGTTTGCGCCAGCAAATTTATTTTAACGCTCAAAACTTTTTTATAGGTCTGATCTCCTTATTCTAAAGACAATAAAGCAGTCAGTGGAGCTGAGAAACAGTGTTTGCCACAGCGCAACGATATGTGCTAATGCAATGATGCATGCAGGAACAACAGTGGACACGTTTCTAAGAGAAAACCTGGTGATTAGCCGTCCGCTTATTAGATATTTCCTACTTTATATGGTCAAAACTTTTTATCACCTCAAAATCTGCTTACCACTTGTCACCTGACTATGTAGGAATGGTTAAGCAGGGCAACAAATTGGGCTAAATTCAGTGCCACTGCTGGGCTAGGTGTCATTCACAAAGGTCACCTTCAACAAGGGAGGTCACTGATGGCACCATACCTACCTCAAAGAGGTTCAACCGCTGGGTCAAGCCCATACTCAGAAGGTGGTGCTCTTTATGCTCTGGGTTTGATTCATGCCAACCATGGTGAAGGTATCAAGCAGTTTCTTCGTGAAAGTCTCCGAAATACAAGCTCTGAGGTGCTCCTTTGTCTCTGATTTTAGTTCATTTTACATGTCATGTAAGTTCTTTTCTGCAGTTCTCAAATGGTCCCAATGATGTAGGTGATCCAACATGGTGCTTGCTTAGGTCTTGGATTGGCCGCCCTAGGAACTGCTGATGAAGAGATATATGAGGATGTAAAAAATATCTTGTACACAGATAGTGCTGTGGCTGGCGAAGCTGCTGGTATCAGCATGGGTTTACTTATGGTTGGGACTGCGAGCAATAAGGCAAGTGAGATGCTGGCATATGCACATGATACGCAGCACGAGAAGATAATCAGGTTAGAGGATTCTGCACTCATTAAGATAGATGATTGAAGACTTTGGAATTTTCCACAATGGTTTTCGGCTACTGTTTTCGTTTTTTTCCCCCCATTTATTTCCATTTAGATATGAATTCCGGGAATCTCCATGCTTATTTTATTTTACGTTCAAAATGTATGCCAGAGGAGTTTGTATTTTACCACGAAATAAAGCCTTGCAGACTATATGATCATGCTTTCAAAGTATCGAATATGCATTCGCATTATGTTGCATAGATTCTCTTTTTCTTTATTCTTTTTGTGAAGAGCATTAATTCATGTCTTGCCTGGCATTTAACAGGGGCTTGTCAATGGGAATTGCATTGACTCTCTATGGCAGAGAGGAAGAAGCTGATACTTTGATTGAACAAATGACAAGGGATCAAGATCCAATCCTTCGTTATGGTGGGATGTATGCTTTGGCATTAGCTTATAGGGGGACTTCGAACAACAAGGCGATCCACCAATTGCTGCATTTTGCTGTATCGGATGTGAGTGATGATGTAAGACGAACAGCCGTGTTAGCCCTCGGATTTGTTCTATATTCAGAACCAGAACAGGTTGGAATTGTTTCTTCTCTCTGATTTTTTTCACAGTAGTTAAATTATCTGTTAATCATCATTCATGCGGGCCGATTACTAACTCAAGGTTGACGAGTTCTGCCTTTGAAACCCACTTCTTTTTTCACATGAATGAAGATCACCGCTAATTTTCTCCCTCTGCATCTGGCGGAGTAAACATGTTGTGATGGAAAATTAGAAAGGCTTCTTCGCAAGCAGATTACAATAAAGCTGACTGATTTTTTGAAAAATCGAATATCTCACTAGAATAGTCATCTCAGATCATTTTTCTCTTAGTATAAGACGTTTGATTCTAACTCTGCAGACTCCAAGAATCGTCTCCCTGCTCTCTGAGTCCTACAACCCCCACGTACGATATGGTGCAGCTCTAGCAGTCGGCATTTCCTGCGCAGGCACTGGTCTTAGCGAGGCTATATCATTGTTGGAGCCTCTTACGTCGGATGTCGTGGACTTTGTTCGCCAGGGGGCTCTCATGGCAATGGCTATGGTCATGATCCAAGTCAACGAGTCATACGACTCCCGGGTTGGAGCCTTTAGGTATGCTTCTCTGAGGCTGCTTCAGCCTCATCCCTCTCCCTCATGGCATGCCCGTGCACCTAACTTCGCTTCTTGTGGCCGATGTCGTCAGGCGTCAGCTGGAGAAGATCATCCTCGACAAGCACGAGGATACAATGAGCAAGATGGGCGCCATTCTAGCCTCTGGTATTCTTGATGCTGGTGGGCGGAATGTTACCATCCAGATGGCGTCGAAGACGAATCACGATAAACTCACCGCCATCGTTGGGCTCGCGGTTTTCAGTCAGTACTGGTACTGGTATCCGCTTGTTTATTTCATCAGCCTGGCATTCTCCCCAACTGCGTTCATCGGGCTCAACTATGATCTGAAAGCCCCGAGGTTCGAGCTCTTGTCCAATGCAAAGCCGTCTCTCTTCGAGTACCCCCGTCCTACTACGGTGCCCACATCTTCATCGGCGGTTAAGCTCCCCGCCGCCGTCCTGTCGACGTCTGCCAGAGTGAAAGCAAGAACCAAGAAGGAAGCCGAACTGGCGGCTGGTGCTGAGAAATTATCGACTGAGAAGGCTTCTTCGGGTCCGGGGAAAGTCCAGAAGTCTTCAGAGAAAGATGCCAGTGCCATGCAAGTAAGTTTGCACTTTGATTGCTGAGGAGGGTTGATGATTACTCTGTGACTCATGTCTCGTCAGGTTTTGTAGAAAGAAAAGCTTTCCAACCATTCTAGATAACGTGAAAAACCTGCATCTCTTCCATTACAGGTGGATTCTGTACCGGGACAGAAGGCAGACAGTGAGCCAAGCTCTGAGATTCTCATAAACCCTGCAAGAGTTCTCCCCGCCCAGGAGAAGTACGTGAAATTTCTGGAAGGGAGCAGATACGTTCCGGTGAAGAAGAGGTTCACGGGCAAGCCGGCAACCTCCGGATTTGTTCTCTTGAATGATCTCCAGCCCTCAGAAGCCGAGGTGCTATCGCTGACCGATGCGCCCTCGGCTGGCCCCGCCGCCAGTGGTGGCCAATCGTCGGCGGCGGCGGGGCAGCCGGGCTCTGCCACTGTGGCCGACGAGGAGCCCCAGCCACCCCGGCCATTTGAATTCTCATGATCATTCCAGAGCCTGAAACGAAGCTGCGGCGATTGAAATGGCGGCGATCTGATGGCGAGAACTTGGGTGTCCCATTGCCGCCCCCCCCACGCGATGTATTTGGAGCAGCCATATCTCGTCCAGAAGAGCTCCTCGGCCCCCCCTCATAGCGCACAGCACTGCTGGGGACGAGCCTCCAGCCTCTGGGCAGAGCCCCATTTCTCTGCCTTTACGGTTTCAAGCTTCTTCATTCGCGGGTCTTGTTCGTGTGGCTTGCAGTAGTACCCTGAACGCTCTGATTGAAACAGACGAGAAAATTCCAAAGGGTGAAGATGGCTCCTCCTTGTTCTTCTCATCTTTACTCATCAATGTAATCTGCTCTGCAATCACTGCCGTGGTTTCCTTTGTGGGATGGATTCATTTCTTTGTGGAGCCAGAGCCTCGCCACGTTACAGGGAAATGGCAACCAGCTTCTCCCGTCCATAGCTTACAGAAACACTCTTATGAGCAAGCAAGCAACACGAGGCGCTTCCCCCCATTGGGAAAGAAGGCGGAGGGAGAGGGAAAACGCAGAGCGCCCGCCAACCAGGGGCGATGATGCTACAAGAAGAGTAATTCTCGGAAGAGGAGGCACCCGCGGATGGGTCCTTAAACCCCACCACGTGAGAAAGTGTTCTCGGCTTCAACCTTGGGGTCCTCTTCTTGGACCGGCGTTGTTGTTGTCCATGTCCTCCGAGGAAAGGCAGCCTGCAGCACTCTCCGCCGCCGGCGAGTTGGTCTGCCAGGGATGGGGAGCCTCCGGATCGCAGACAGAAGTGGGGGGAGGATCCGGTCTGTCGATCTGCAAATCGGTGTCCGCTTTGGGCGGGCCCAACCACGACAGCGGATTCACTGCACAGAAAAGGGATGAAAAGTTTCCATTCATGCTTTCAGAGAGTAAGTGATTAGCTTCAAGCCACAATCTTCTGCCTTGGCCACAATATCATGGACAACACGACGATTGGCCTCCAACTGCGCAGTGATTGGATTGTGTACCAAAGTAGCTGTTTTTACATTGCTTCTTAAACAAAAAGAAAAGATAAAGGAGACGAATAACCAAGTTCATCAAATATTATAAATGGGTCCCAAAAAAAATAAAAGAAATAAAAAAGAAGAAAAATAAGTGAAAAAGTATTTGGCTTCAGTGGGCTGGGCCTCGGTTCTCTTGAACAAGAGAAGAGAGATGCAGATATTACTTGAGAGAGGAGAGGTAGTATTCGCATGACTGCACAAGATGCAAGCCCATGCCTGCTGGGACAATGGCCAAGAGAGGATTTGCAAACAAGGCTAAGGGGAAGCAGAGGTGAGCCTGCAACTTCTCAAAGAAATTCAAATCCAGCAGATCAGAAGCATGGGAAAGAGATGAAAGAGAGACAATAGGAGGAACAGGACAGAGCACCTATCATGTTTCATTCATACAAGTCAAAGGAGCCTAAGGAAGGATGAAATAGAAAAAAAATATAAAATAGGTAAAAATGATCAGTTTTTAAGCAAGGATAAGTAGTGATTGTGATGCAAAATGATCAGACCTCGCACTAGCATTGGAGGTTGACTGTGCAGTCTTCAAAAAGGGAGTGAAGAAAGAGTAACTTAAACTTTGATTCACATCAAAGTCAACTGCCAGTGAAAAGTCCATGGAACAAACCAGCACAGACACAAGATTCGAGGGTAAACAGCCAAAGGTCGCAACAAAGAATACACTTTGGAGCTTCTTGTTGGATGTATTCTCATTCTCCACCAGTGATTCTCGCATAATAAGCGAGAAACAATGGCAACATGAGATCTTATAAACATCAAAAAAGAAATAAAATCAGAGAGCCCCGTAGCAAGCATGAGAATTAATTACAGGTTCATGTGACAGTATATTTACCATCAGCAGGTTTCACTGCCCTCGATGATCGCACTCTGGCACTTTCACATGCATTTGAGAAGCGTACAGAGCGCTTCCTCACATAGTTTTCTTGTAGAGGCCTTGGAATCTGGAAAGAAAACTGGGACATTTTCACTCCTTGGTCAACGTACTCCGGATGCTCAAGCAGGTACCTTCAATATACACACACTTCCATTTCAGACAACGGAAAACCATAAAGCAACATGTCTATCAGACGGATGCAGCAACCAGTAGCCTTGGCAGATATCTAATCAGTGAAGATTTGAACGCTGTTCTGTTCTAGGCAAGGTAGAAAGGCAAAAGCCCGCTCGCAATGGTGATTACATACTTCTGTACCTCGACCATGGATCTCAGCATCTTCCCTGATGGTGCAGCATAATATCTGAAATGAAAACGTTTCATTTATATGAAGAATGTTGAGATCAGCAGCTGTAAAAGAATGCGCAAGATTACGTACACATCGGCGAACTTGGTGCTTCCTTCGCCCCTTATTCTAAGTATCCTTTCCCACCCGGGAGGGGGTTGGGCGATATTAGGCTTGTCAATTGCCCATAGTCTGCTGCCATCTTGAGAAATATCGGCAGGATCGTCGCATGATACATCACTGCGCCACTCCTGAGCTCTCTCACAGACAAAAGGATCTTGCAGGAGATGTTCACGAATTTCTTCGTACTTTTCTTTTGTGGGCACAAGCCTCCATTTGAAGCATGCTGCGCACTGGACTGCGAATGCACCAACGGAGGACAGAACTCTACTAGGATGATTTGGTGCTCGTGAACTGGGAAGAGAAGAAGCTTGGCCTGCATCACTGGTGCCCGGATTATACACCACCAACTCCTTTTGTGAACTATCGATGGGCCTACTGCCATCATCTGAATCAATCAGGACACCATTAATCGATTTCTGACGCTTCTTCTTAATACCCTTGATAGGTTTCACCTTTGATATCTTTGTTACAAGGGGCGCATCTCCTTGATGCATCTGAATCTGGGTGGATTGAAAGCTTGGAGAATGCGATTGGAGGAGTAATGCTCAAATTCCAGCTGCAGAAACCTGACATGACAATAGTACTTAAGTTAGCAAGACATGCAGAGCACAGTAATGAATTTTCAGAGACAGAGACGATATTGCAAGATGGGGCACTTCCAATGGGTAGGTGAAGGTATCAGATGGGAAGGGATTCTCGTAGATCCTCTGACCAAGAGGCCCGGCGAGATGGGACTTCGTCTACAAACATGTACCATGAAGCAAATGGTGGGCAAGACAACCCCAAGTGTGCAAGGACAGAGGGAGTGGAGTTCCCGAATGGAGAATAAGCCATTCGGTTTCAAAAGATTCAAACTTTAGGAATCTCGAGCGCTTCCTGAGACCAACTGAAAAATTTCCGGGCTTTTTGGAACTTCGGATCTCCCCCAATTTTAACATCGTTCATGAGGAACAATGGGCAGGCCGTGGCACGCTGATGGGTTCAAAAGAAAGAAAGAAAGAAAGAACAGAAACAAGATCAAAATCAGGAGACAGCACGAGGAGGATTCACCAAGAATCACAGAAACAACAAGTCAGTCATATGCAATTCCTGCAATACTTTGATCACCCGATATCCGGCCGGGATCGAGCACATTCGTCCGTTGATGCCTCGAGCGGGTCATACAATGACTGTAACGTGAAGAATGAACCGCACCAGATCTACGGCAACCTTCTCTGAACTACTCCACCAGAAGTTCGGCAAGGCCCCGGACCACGGAGTTTCCACGGTAACCACTGGCCCTAGAACGTTTTAATGTGAACGGGAAAAGGAAAGCTCGGATCTCTGAAGGACAGAAGGAATTATAAGACGAAGACGAATACGTGAGGCTAACGGGTGATCGGAACAAGCGAGGAACGCACCGAGGATACGAAGGATCGCAAGGAAATCGAAGCCCCCCCCGCGGAGAAGCGTGTTCTAGACGGAGACGGAGAAGCTAGAAAGTCCGAGGAGAGTATCCCGAAGAACTAGAGTAGAAGGGCCGCAGTCATTTGAAATAGCACAAGGGCAGCAACATTGAGTGCATAGTGGTCGATGCAGCCTATCATTTCCCAGAGAGACGGAGGAAAACTGGCAGGAGGGATTTCTTCTGCCAGAGAAGGAGAAAAGCACGCCCGCCCCGCCCTCTTCTCACCGAGCAAACGCACGGAACATAATTAGCGGGTGGAAGAGAAGACCCTACCTCCACTGATTGCCCCCCTCTGGACACACTGTGGGTTAGCCACCGAAGGAGAGAGAGAGAGATGGGCTTTTCAGACAGGCTCGCACCTGCTGGACGGCCTGGGCAGGATCCTCTTCTTCTCTGTGACCCACTCACTTGCCACTTTCCTCTTCCTCGTCCTCCGCGACAAGGAAAGGTATGTATCAAATCTGAACCACCCTCTCATGCTTTGTATGTCCCCATCCTTCTGCATTAAAACCTCTCTCTCTCTCTCTCTCTCTCTCTCTAACCGACCGACCGACCGAGATACCCATCCTGCATCGTAGCCGTCGGCAGCGTAGCAGGGAAGAGAACCTGCAACCTCGCATGACGCTCGTAGCCTCACCGGGCGTGTCGTCCACTCACTTGATGGACGGCGTGTCGTTAAATTTATCTACCCGCCCTCCACCGGCAACACGTGGCCTCGCCATTGACCTCTTGGTCTTCATCATTGCCACTCGAAGATACAGAGCAGATAGTTACCTCCTCCTCCGGGCACCACTCATGCAGCTTGGAGGCTTCCCTCTCTCTCCTCTCTCTCTCTCTATCTCTTTAGAACGCCGCCCTCAGGCTTACCCTACCAGTTTCTAACTGGCTAGCTAGGTAGGTTCCTTCCTGGTATGATGAAGGAGAAGGGAGAAGAGCCAAATACAAAATGAGGTGTGGATGACTGATTCACTAACCCCAAGTCCACATTACGGCAGGAGTGGAGGCGCCTGGGCTGAGCTGCGGCGGCAGGCAGTGCTGGTTCCAATGGCGGAAGCCTTCGCTCAGCCCCGTTGCGGCTGCGGCGGCGGCGTAGGGTCTTCCGTCTCCATCTTCCTCCACATCCATCGCCTCCTGCTCGCCCAATGCTGCTCCAGAGACCGTGAATGGGGGGGAGGAGGGAGCATTAGCTCTACTAGATGGGCGAGGAGGCGCCCATGGAACCAGAGCCAAGCTGCAGCCAAATGCTGCTGCCTCTCTGTCGTCTGTCGAGGGTTCTCCTTCCTCCCCTGTTCCCGCTGTACGTTGGCCCAACCAGCCGCACTGAACTGGTGAAAAAGAAAAGAAAAGAAAAAACCCCATCATCATCATCTGATTCTAATGAGGCTAAAAGCATAGACGGTTGAACGGTGGTTTTCTCCAGATACTTACCCTTCAACCCGGAAATCAGATCCGGGCCCACTCTGAGAAGGGCATTCAATGATGGCGGGTAGTCGAAGATTGGCCGATCGACTGGTTTGTACAGGACAATAGCTCTCGACTCATCTAACTTGAACGAGGGTCCGACACCAGCCAACACAACAGCGGGGTTCTGTTGAACCCTTGGCGGCTTCTCCTCAACTGACGGTTGTCCGCAGGCCACGGCTGCAACTGTGGCTTCTTCTTGTAGGTTCCTGGTCAATTCTGCATCCTACAGATTGGACATCAAGACAAAAGCGAACAAATATACACACACGGACGATAAAGCCATCAGGACTATCCTCTCGCTAAACGCAGAGGGATACGTCTATGTATGTTATTATATATACAGAGAGAGAGAGAGAGAGAGAGAGAGAGAGAGAGATCCCGAGATGAGGTCCAATAGTTCCACTGAAAATCTCAGATTCATAAACAAAGGTGATTCAACATGACGTATATGAACAATGAACAAAAAATTGCGTAAGAACCATCGGATTATCATTTATTTCTTTGATGAAAAGATGTCGTAGAGAAATAAATAGTCTCACTTCGGCGACAACACGGTTCGGAAGAGAGAAAGACCCGAGAACGTAATATCCTACAACTCAGCGATGTACGGGCATCTAGTAGGTTGGGAAGGCGGTACTTATTAGCTTGGCGCATAACTTGGAAATTGGTCTCATAGACATGAAGAGAAAACGCGGAAACATCTAGCTTAGACTAAGGCAGTCTCCCTGCATTAGAAAACCCCATCCACAGATGAAGTGCCCTCCTTCGATTTATCATCCGCATCCAAAACCTCCCTGGACCACTAAGATCTCACTTCCTGCTGCCTAAGAATCCCCGATGCGGATGCTACCTCATGACAGAATCAGAAGGGCCTCAATCATGACTTCGCGACAAATCGAGAAGCAACGACAAACGGTAGCTATAGCCATATGATCCTCCGATTCTCAGAAAAAAACATGTTTCATTACTTAAGTAATACCAAAAAAGATGAATACTCGCAGGTATTGAGCGGGGTGGAGTGAGAAGTTACCAGTCTCCTAATCTTCATCGCGGGCGAGGGGGAGAAGAAGGGGAAATCGTCGATCATATCCTCCGGAGGCGAAGCCTTCCTCTTCGCCGTAGCTGGAACGCACTCCATCACCTCGCCAGCGCCGCTCCACGCCAGCGAGCCGTAGAACGCCATCTTCTCCGATTCCCAGCTCCGGATGTTCCAGAATCTCCGGATCGTCCAATCCTCTCGGCGACCGTATATTCTTAAAGGGGAGGAAAAGGGCGGGAAAAGGCGCTTCTAGACTTCTCCAGCACCGTCTCGCGAGGCGCCGAACCGTACGAATGACTAAAAAACATGTTCAGTTAATATATATAAATAAAATATTAAATGCTTTTTTAATTCATATTTCATTAAATACTACAGTAATCCACTGATCAGCATTTTTTATATTTATCCCCAGTTAAATTTCTAGTTGTAATCAACCACTATATTTATTAAAATTCGCCACAGTTTTCGGACGTGTGGGCATATCCTGTGAAATTCGGTCTGCAGACGAAAATACCTGGAAATAGTGGAATATTGGTGAAAATGGGCAAGAGAACGGACTGTTGGATATCTAAATATTTACCCCAATATTTAAGTATCTAAAAATTTAACCCTGGCCAGAAATATAATCTTTCTCTTATCCCTTCACTCTAGACTTGTTCTAATCGTCCAAATTCGTCAAATATCCTATCCGTTCATTCCACGCACTGATTCTCCAGATTCATTCACTCTCTGTAATACCATATGCCCATAATTACAAGGTTTAAGGGTAGATATATTATAACCCATAATTGCAAGGTACGTTTGGAGAATACTCCACGAAGTTTAATCTGCGTACGAGCATACCTGGAGACAAGCGAATATTGATAAAATTGGGGGTTCCGTATGGTTAATCTCTGATGGGTCATTTTCATTCAAGTCTGTAGTCGGAAATAGAATTACTATACGTCTTATTGGGATATTTTATTTGCACTGAAGTTCACTGATGGTATATATGTATATATTGGTAGTTTCACGTCAGAAGGAGGGGCCCGCAAATGGCCGTAAGAAGCGGCCACCACGACGGCATTTTGCGCGGGAGAATGGGGAAGAGGGAACTGGTGGAGCCCTAGTTCCTCGTTCTCTGCTCCAGTACAGAATCGGCGATGGCGAGGGGCGCCTGCAGCGGGAGGGAGCTCGCGGAGCGGTGGAGGGGCATCCTGGAAGCCGAAGCGGAGGATGATGATGAGGGAGGAGGAGGAGGGGGAGTCCTCGGATTGTCGTCTGCCCGGCGAGGGGTCCACCAATCGAAAGAGGAGTGGTTCGCGCCTCTCCCGCTCATTCCACACGTTCTTCTCTTGCTTTCAATTGCACAACGGATCCACGAACACCAGTTGTGTTCGTGGCGAGCAATTGGACTTGACACTGGTTGTTCGTCGCTTATAATGCTGATTAACGACGCACTGATAGGAGAATCGGAAAAAGTATCCGTCTTTTCTATTCGGATATTTTAATGTTAATCGACTTTTGCCCATCGAAGGGTGCCTGAGAAGTAGCGCACTTATTGGTACGCTGGACTGTATCACTTAACCCCAATTTTGAAATAAACATCGATTTTTAAGCATTTTCAAATATTTTTTTCTCAACCAGTTACTTTATCTGATCAATGTATTTTATGACTACACTACAGAACCAGATGTTTTCATATTTAACTGAAATATTTTTATAGTAATACCTTGTCGTGCAGGCATAATCTCAACTATAGGTAGAAATGATGAAGTCAAAATTCCAATACCCCACTTGACACTGTTGATAGTTACTAGTTCTCCCATAATTCACCTCACATCTACACAATTGATCTCTTTACTTTGTTGCGTGAGGCAAATGGATACCATTGGATGCAACTTAAGATTGAATATCCTGGTTACTCGTATCATAGGCTATTAACTTTGGGTGAAAAATCAACCAGAAGATTTGTTTCTACCTGTAAATATCTCTGTTCGCCTATAAATTTTTTCCCAAGTTGATTTTGCTTATTTTTCAGGCCTAGTTTGCTCGAATGGTGATTCAAGTCCAACTCCGAATTCTTTTAGGGCCCCTAATTATTGTGATAGTATTTTATCGGCAGTTACATTCAATGATTGCGTTTGATTGTCTATTTCCATCATGACAATTTGTTCTACATTTTCAGGTTTGTGGATACATTTAGTTTTTTGATTAATTTGCCAAAGGAAACTCACATCTGGTGTGGTTGTTGGGAGTTGATGGGGCCTCTTTTGGAAACCTTTCACAATTTCTTTAAAGATAAATTCAATGATTCGCCCCTCACTCTGTTGTGGAAGAGAATCTCCCAGGAACTTGGGCAGTGCACCCAGTGCATTTCTCAACACCATCAAGCCCAGGAAGCATACGCTACAGAATATGAGTTTGACACTGTAGGACCACTTCTGAAGACATTGCAATGCCTAGATGAGGAAAGGGTGGTAGAACATCTCAAAGATATTAATACAAAAATACTTCGAAGAGAATATGATCCTGAATATTATGGTTCTGAAGTCGTCAGCATCATGTTCGAGGTATAGTGTGCATTAAAATTTGTATATAGGATTTTCTTCTCTCTTGGATTTTGAATATTTTTGAAAATTCCCCGTTATTTTTCTTGTTCCATATTAAATGATGCTGAAGTACGTTTTGCGTAACTGAAATTATTTCATAAAACTTGTTGAAGAGCCTTACTTTCATGATTTTTTTTCTGATTTTCAGGTGTTAATGTTTCCTACATTGTTGGATGACCAATCCTTGGTTAATGAGTTCCAAACCTTTATTGAAGCAATTGACAATTCTCATGATGTAGCACTTTCTGGACATCAGCAATATCCCGTAATTTTTTTGCCTTCTGACATGCTTTAGCGTTTGCTCATATTTATTCCTAATTCAAATAATCATTTTATTATTGTCTGAATGTCCGGAAAACTTTTTTTCTTTGTTTAGGGAGTGTATGCTCTTCTCTTTTTGAAAAGTTCTAAAGCCCGGGCTATTGGTCTTCGTTTGGCAAAATCCATGGGAAAGATGAGGTATGTATGGCTAAGTTTTTGTGTTTTATGATGAATTTCCAAGTCCCGCACATTATCAAATGCAATTACAATAATAATGAGACTGTCTCAATTGTAACTGCCAAAAAGATTTGGATTAAATTTTCTCACTGATCTCTCAATTATTCCACTCTTATTTAATGGTTTAGTTTAAACTAAGTTTTTTTGACTGTTGAAGATGATTTTGTAAATTGTGTTGAGTCTCGTTATGGTAAAGTTGGTAGCATTCTGCTTGAATTCCATTCTGTAATGACATTCAGTCGGTAAATATTGCTTTTTACCTTTCTTATAGAAATAATAAAGAAAGTTGAATCTTGGAAGTGAAATGGAAAATTATTTTTTTTTCTGTGCTTTTCTTTATTATCACACATACCTTGTGCTTTCCTTTTTACGTAACTGCCTTCCAGGTTTTTGAATTTTCTATTTGAAAATTCAAGAAACTACCTGTGCATTTCTTACATTATTTCTATCATTATTTACGATTTTTGAAACAATAGAAACTGAACTTATGCATCATTCTATTTGAAACAAATTTAATCGAGTAAGTTTTTTCAGTGGCCTCTGAACCTTGATTTGGAATTCCCCCAATTAATGGATTGATTCATGTTGAGTTCGTTTCTTTACGTTACTGATGGGTATTTTTCTGGATGTGAATTTAGGCTGGCAGCTGACTTGGAACCTTTGCAGCCCTTGCTGAGGAAATACATTGGTTTCTTAGAGACTGAGGTGCTGTCATCAGGTTCAGAGTCTTCTCGGCCAAGAGTTGAGCATGAGAGACTTGCTGTGTGGCTTGGAATTAAAACATTGTATGTTTGAATTTCCATGAGCTTGTCTTTCTCAGACTCTTTATTTTTTATTTTTTTTTCCGTTCTTCCTTCTTGAGGAATGAGTGAGATAGACTGTCCGTTTTGTTAGTGAACAAAGAGATATCATGCATCTACGAATTTTATGTGCTATGTTTGGTACAAATTGAGATATCCTTTATTTCTAGTGCCTTGCCTCGCAAAGTAGCTGCAGACAAGTTGTCTGAAACACTTCTGCTGTTTGTTGGACGGGGTACTAAATAATTTATGGGGCAATCCTGTTAAGTAGTCTCAAAACCCGTCTTAGAAAATATAATGAGATAAAGATCGACTGTTACAGTAGCGTTATGCCAGATGCCAAAGCCACTTGTTCTCATAATAAACATAAAAACAAAATAACTTGAAAATGCTCAATCTTGTTAGGGACCAAGAAGGTGCATACTACCAAAACTCCTGCTTTGTACTTTTTTGAAAATGTAGGCTATTTTTATGTAGTATCAGCTCTTCAGAATGAAAATGAAATATTCTTTTTTATGTAGAAAATATTCTCGTACGCAACAAGAGGAAATATCTATTCAAGTAGAAAAAAATCCTGAATTGCCAAACTAATGTAAGACACCTTGAATTGAGAAGATCCTTTGCTACCATATTTTCCCCGGAGAAAGGAACTGGAACTTTTGTTGTTTTCATGATATTTTGCTAATTTCATGCTAATCTTCTTTTTATTTTATCTAATATCTTTGAAGAAACTAGTTTCCACGTGTGGATATGATCAATGATACTAAAACCCAATTCCCTTTAGGTTATAAATGCTATTTACTTTATGGATATATCAGTATTTTAATTTATTTTCTGAAGATATATATTTATGTTGTATTTTTTAAGGCTAGGGTTTCTGGAGGCTCCAGCTTTTGAAGAAGGGATATTGGAGAGGTATCCTGTATTCCTGAGCATTGTGCTTAACCATGTCAGTGATGACACTCCTGAGTTCTCCTATGCAGTTACTTGCCTGAAGCTCCTTTTTGAGATGCTTGGTATGTTTCCTGGTTTCATATTACGTGTTAGTGTAGATAATTTTAATGTTAAACTAAAGCATTGCCATACCCTTTTCTATTTTCTTTGTAGGTTGTAAACTTTGGTTGAGGACAACATTGTCGCCAAGTGTGATGCGCAACACCCTACTGGGCCAGTCTTTTCATACGCGTAATGAAAAAAGCCACAAAGAGATTTTTGATCTTTTCCTCCCATTTTTGCAGGCATGCTCCATGATAACCTTGTTCCTTTTTTTTTCTTTTCCGTTTTCTCGCTCAGAAGATTAATTTATGTACTGAAGTTGATGATATAGTCTAAATTTATATGTCCAGTCTCTTGAAGCTTTGCAAGATGGGGAACATGAAAAGCAGAGAAGACATTTACTTTACTTTCTCCTTCATCAAGTAACACAAAGCAGTAATTTTAGTCTTCTGATGAGGAAGAATGCTTGCAAGGTTATGTGCATTCTTTTTGGTATCTAGTGAGAAATATTTTGAATCATAGTATTTTATAAATTTTCCTTTTTGGGCATTTTTGGTAAGAATACGCAGCATATTTTCCGCTGTGGCTCATTTCTCACATTTTTTTTTCAGATTGCTCTTCTCATTGTGCACCGTGGTTACAAGATGAATCCTCCTTGTCCGCCATCTGAGTGTGCACATATGTGGTATAAATTGATTATAACTTTTTATTTGGTTACCCTTGAAAGGCTATTTTTTCCATATAGATAAATTATAACGATGTCCAGATCCAGGTAGAAAAAGAACTCCTGACAACTGAGTATCATTTTACTTGCTGATTGCAAGGATAATTACACAGAAATCCACTGAAGGATCTTCAAAATTATTATTGCCAAGTTCATTGTATTGTTGTCAAGTTACCAAAGTTCTGGAGTTGGCTTGATGCCAGACAGAGGAAAACATAACCTGACCAAGCTATAACTTGGATCTGGGAGAACCTCAACAATCTCTAAGGTCTTATGTTTGTTTCAGTTACACCTCCATTAAGATTCTGAATCTCAGTACTCTACGTATTCTAATAGTGAGCTTAGTTTTCCAACTTTCCGTGGTAATAGTGAGTTTCGGATCTATGGCCTTGGTAAGCATTTCTAAATTTAACGGAAGTAATCACTTTAGACCTGGGTTCGGTCGACAGTTCCACATTTGGAGCCTAACACAGTGAAGTGTGCTCGCCTAGCATTTGAAGGGCACATTGCTGCACGTGTTGTGAACTTTTTTTTTGGGTCTCATCGGTAGGTGCAGATATCACTTTAATGGGGCTTAATAAATCATAATTTGTTTAAAGATGTCGTGAGTCTTGACATTCCTCTCTGCATGTGGGATTTTAATGCTTGTTGACATCTGAAGATTTCCTCTGAGCGTGTTGGTACATTTGGATGTGCAGTAGAACTATAGTAATGTTCTGAAAGTGTTAACTTGAAAGCCATCATGTGTAGGGAATACCTGCGTGTACATCTTATATGGAAGATTTTAGTATTATTTGCAGATATTTTGAATTTTAATGTGCAGACCGCCTTTATATAATAATATTTTATGGTGTTAACAGGGGTCCATCTTTGGCTGGTTCCCTGAAGGATTCATCCCTTCACAGCTCTCTGCGCCAACCAGCATTTGATCTGATGCAAACTATCATAGTCTCAGATGCTGCTGCTTTGGCTTCTCTGATATTGAAGTATTCTGCTTCTTCAAATGATGATGTGGCCAGTAACACCAATTTCAGCTATGCTGAAAATGAAGTCTCTTTTTCTCTTGATGAAGAGGAAAATGAAAGCAGCTGTTGGAATGAGTTCAGCACTCAGGGAATGCTTACCTCTCAAGACTGCAAAGATTGGTCTTGTGTTCCCATGTTATGGCTTGATGTTTTAGTGGAAGTGGATCCTTATATTCTCCCAATATCCTTCTGCAAAGCCGTCGTTTGGGCATTGTCTCGTTTTTCTTTGTTGGATCCAGACACTAACGTAGAAAACCGACTCCCAGTGAGAGAATGGATAACTGCGTACACTAAAGAAGTCTTAAGCTCTCTTGGGTGGGAGATTCCGCGTGGTTCTGATGACGGTGGCGAAGGAAGAGAGTCAAAGAATTCAGTCAAAGCATCATCCATGTGCATTCCTTTAATGAGAGCATTCAAGAGGTTCATACTGGTTCTCATTAAACTCGTATTTCATTGTTTGAATGACTTTGAAACTTGTCTGAGTTATTTTTTCAGGCATTTTATTTTTTATTTCTCTCTGGTTTCTGGCAACGTGTTCAAGTTGTCATTTAGTATTCATTTTAGCTATTGATCATGTTGACATCTTTTCTAGTTTTTATTTTTAGGTGTGGTACACACTTTCTAATCCAAGTGGAACAACGTGACCTTCACAAGCAGTTTACCTGGGAGCCCAAAATGGCAGAGAGCTTGATCTTGTCACTTATAGACCCTAATGATGTAAGACTCCTGTGTATTGCCTTTTCCACGTTCTGAATTCATTATGATGAAGCAAAACTTGAACAACCTAGGTTTGGTCTTAACCTCTGAAGACAGAAACCAATGGCCCTTTGCTTGGCATTAATTTGCATTTGTTTTTCGTTCTACAGGCTGTGAGGCAAGCTGATAGAATTATATTGGAAAATGTTTCAAAGACACAGGGTCTTACTTCTGGTCTCCAGTTTCTTTGTTCTGGTGTCTCCTCGCTCTCTGCGATGCTTTCAGGGTTGAAATACGCTTTAAAACAGGTTAAGCTGTGTCTTAGTGAGTTCCTAGCTGCTGAATGCTATTGATAGTCTAAAATTTGCGTTTTGGAATGTTTCCCCGACTATCTTGGGCTTAAGGGGCACATAAACTGTACTCCTTTTATTTAATTTCAGTTTTTCCTCTAGATTAAGATCCACACTTACTGTACCAATGCATTATAACCAATGTTCTCCCTTTCTATGTACGGTGTATTTTATGTGCTTATATTATAGTATATTCTTGCGGGATGTTCGTTAGTACATTAACTTATAAATCCTGTTTCTCTTACTGCTAATCAATCTCATAGATCAGTAATGTACACCTCTCTGTTGAAGTTGACACCACACATGACATGGCATGTGGAGAGTTGATGTTACCGACCTTTTGGAAATTTACAAACGGAATTTCATTGGCGAGATATCAGCGGTGAAGGCTAAGTGATTCGTATTTGTTTCTTCATTTTTTTACACATTCTCTCTTTGACTTTGTATAAACTTGAGAATGGTTCCTTCTCTAACACCCCAAGTTTTAAATGCTAAAAGTTAGTTTTCTCTTGTTCATCAAATAGTCCTCATTGATGTTTGTCAAAATTTTGGGACTCTTGCTCTGTGCTTCAAGACTGCACTTCTTAATTGGGATGATAGTGTATATGGCGTTTCCTTTGAATTTCTGTTTCCTTTGAATTTTAGTTGCCAAGTATGTTATTCTGATTTCCGTCTTGATCTAAATGACTTCATGCTTCAGTCATCCATACTTATAAAATTCGAAATCAATTTCTTTTCTTTTCATTCTTCAGTTCGATAATTTGTTAGCTCTTTGATTTAATAAAATTTTGTGAATGAGTTTCTTCCTCTGTTTTTTTTATTGCCTCACTCTTTTGTTATTCTGTTTCTCAGGTTCAATGGAATCCAAGCTTACTTGGTTTCCATGATCTTCATCACTTGTTTTTCATAATTTTCAAACTTCTGAAGGAAGTTGTATCTTCACAGAAGACAGCAATTTCATCTCGAGAGGATGCAAATCGTTCGAAGCTTGTATCAGGAGGGGGCTTTTTGCAGCAACCTTGTTTTGATTATTCACCTGTTAAAACTCAGGATCTTTCTTTAAATACTGTGGACTTACAGTCTTGGAAGACATTCGGCTGCTTGCTGTCAGCAATAACATGGCCATGTATATTAAAATATTTGGTGAAGGGGAGGGAATTTATTGATAAAAAAAATTGTCAGGTATACAATGATGTCTCAACATTTTTTATTATTTTAATATACGGGATATTTCCATCTTTCTGTTGGATAAGCATGCTATTTGATGCCAAAGTCAGGAACTGTTCGTACACCAACTTTAATAGCGGTGATTACGGTGATGTAATAATAAAGATGTTTTATTAAACTTAAAATTTGGTACATTAAATCCACTTTGTATTCTCTTTATTTTTGAATATTTTCCTGAAGTTTACTTTTTTGTTTTAGATGACGTGTGTACGTTTTCTGGAAACTATTCCAGTTATTTTTGAAAGGATGAGCTTATCTTCAGGTCAGATATCACAGAATTTGGAGACCATATCGTCATTGATCTTTGACTTCAAATGGCTGCCTGATCTGGCAGATTGGGGGAAGTCTTCCCTTGTTGTCGTGATTAGACATTGGAAAAAGTCCATTCTCTCTTTGCTAAATTTAATAAAGGGCTCTTGTCACATTAGCATGGCATGCACCTTTGGTGCAATCGAGACACTAGTGAATTCTGGTTTGTTTCTCTTCTATTTCTAATTATATCTCCATTTTTTGTCCCATCTTTGGTTCACTTTTTTATTCAGCGAATTATTTTTTTTAATTCCAGATAATATTGCAATGGATGAATTGAAGGGAAGGCTATCCGAACTTTCAGTTTTGTTGTCGAAGTTGCCTGTTGGAACTGTTGAAGAGGCATCATCAAAGTTGGAGAGTGTGCCTTCTGAGCATCCTTCTTTGGGAAGAAAATCGCCCATTGCAGGTACTCCTTACCCTAACATCAAGGATTTATATATCGATAAAGTGCACGTATCTACCAGGAAAGACAGAGTTATTGTTCTTTCAGACGATGAAAGAGAAAAGTTGATCTCTCCCGACATGGAGGCTTTGTCTTCCAGTAGGTTAAGTGACCGCAAGTTGGACAATAAGCTATCTGTTTGTGAAGACGGGCCAAAAGTATCAGATAATATGGAGTCTGCTTGGGTGAATGGGACAAGCAAGCCACGGCAGTCTTTGTCATACCCAAAGGTTTCTGGATACAGTAAATTAATTCCCCAAAAGCATGATATTGATGTGGTTGACAAATCCCAACCTTTTCCTGGAATCTTGCCTTTTGTGGATAAGAATGCTGTCTCTGAACGCAGTGCTAGGAAACATGTGAAAGATAGAACAAAAAACTCGCTGTCGTCAAAGAAAGTTGACTCTGTTCTCATTGGATCGTCTACCCATTCTTTCCCTCGCGAAAAATCGTGTCTGGTTTCAGGTGGGAATAATGCTGGAGAACTAGAGAGGAGGGTTGATGCTCCTGAAGATGCGACACCTGCAACACGTGGGCGTGGTGTTCCTGAAAGCGTCTCTGGTAATCATGAGGAAGATACTGTGCACAACGCATTCTCTGACAAAGTTGGCTCTCTTCTCGGATCATCTACTCACTCTTTCTCTCATAAAAATTCCGACCGGGTTTCTACTGGTAATGACAACGTCGAACGAGAGAGAAGGGTTGATGTTCCTAAAGATGCTATATTTGATTCTGATGATGATACATTGGAGTCTGCATCTGATCCTATACGACATCTGGCCCAATTGACAAAGCCTATCATGTCTGTTCCGAAAAGAAAAGTCATTCAATTAGAGATGCCTACGAACAACAAAAATGGGTTGCTGAAAAGGTTGGATAATGGGATGAGAAGACTTAAACCACCCAAACTAGATGACTGGTACAGACCTATTTTAGAAATTGACTACTTTTCTATTGTGGGTTTGTCACCTGATGGTGTTGATGCTAGTGCGTCTGTGGCTAAGCTACAAGAGGTTCCTCTTAGTTTCGTGTCACCTGATCATTATATTCAAATTTTTCGGCCTTTGGTTTTAGAAGAGTTCAAAGCTCAGTTACTTAATTCATTTTTGGAAACTTCATCATCAGATGAAATGTTCTGTGGGAATCTTTGTATAGTTTCAGTTGAAAGAGTCGATGATTTTCATATTGTCCGTGCCCGCCCTGAAGACGGTGAATCTGCAAGAGCTTTTTCAGAAAATGACCTTGTTTTGCTTACAAAAGAACCTCTGCAGAACAGTGCCCAGCATGTGCATGTTGTAGGCAAGGTATGAGGTTTTTCTTATGCATTCTTCCTATCATAATTCTGTAAATGTAGTCATACTCGTCAACCATGCTATCAGTTATAACGCTTTGCTATAATTTTCAGTTGGAAAGGCGAGAAAAAAATGATAAGACCAGGGCTACGATTCTTGTGATCAGGTTCTACCTCCAAAGTAATTCATCACGCTTAATCAAAGTCGGTAGGCTTCTTGTTGAGAGAACCAAGTGGTACATTAGTCGGATAATGAGCATAACACCTCAACTTCGAGAGTTCCAGGCTCTCTCATCATTAAATTATATACCCATGCTTCCTGCTATCTTGAGACCGACAGATTGCCATGGTAGTTTTGATGAGTCTGTGAAAGTTGAGTTGGGTAGTTTGTCGCTATCCATGCAGAAGATGCTGAAGTTGTCTTTCAACGATAGTCAGCTTCAAGCTATCAGTGTTGCCATCCAGGGATGTGAGAAGTCTTTTGGACTGTCTCTAATCCAGGGTCCTCCAGGTTGAATCTTCTTGCCTTTACTTCTACTACTACTTGAAGAGCGTGGCCTATAATCTCTATAATATATCGATTGCTTGAATGTTTTGCAGGAACTGGGAAGACCAGAACAATAGTCGCAATTACTAGTGCCTTGCTATGTTTGGGCTCATCAAAGAGGTTTGGTGCCTCAAAGGAACTGAACAAGACGTCTAGGCAGGATACCACTGTGCGCGCTGACAGATCTCGAATTAGTCAGTCTGCTGCAATAGCGAGGGCTTGGCAAGATGCAGCCTATGCTAAACGACTGATAACGGAAGAGGAGGAACATCATTCCGGTTCTGTACAAAAATCTGCCGGAGGAAGGGTCCTCATTTGTGCACAATCAAATGCCGCAGTAGATGAGCTGATATCCAGGATGAAGGGTGGCCTTTATGGAGAAGATGGAAAGATGTACAGGCCTTATATAGTGAGAGTTGGAAATGTGAAAACCGTACACCCTAATTCCCTTCCATTTTTTATTGATACACTAGTGGAGCAGCGGTTGGCTCAGGACAAGAGTTGCAGTGATGCAAAGAATGATTTGAACGTAGAGTCTTCCGCATCACTGCAGGTTAAACTTGAAAAGTTGGTTGAGAGTATTCGGCTTTATGAATCTAAGCGTGCTAGCGTACAGGATCCTGACATGTCCAAGAGCAACATTTCAGAGGATGGGTCATCAAAAGAGAATAATGTGGGGGAGTTGAACTATGCAAACATCGAATCTAAGCTGAAAACCTTATATGGCCAAAAAAAGATCCTATGCATGGATATTAATGCTGCTCAGGCTCGAGAAAGAAAGCTTTCAGAAGAAATCAAATTCGTTAAGCAGAAGACTCGTAGATCCATTCTAAGGGAGGCACAGATAGTTGTGACGACTCTCAGTGGGTGTGGTGGTGATCTCTATGGTGCCTGCTTTGATTCTTCTTCCCGAAGTAGACTGGGAAACTTACCTGAATATGCTTTATTTGATGCTGTCATCATTGACGAGGCTGCTCAAGTATGTTCTCTTTGTACATTCATGGCTTGTGCGAAATCATGCTTTCGTTTAATGCATTCTCTTTGAATCATGCAGGCCCTGGAACCAGCTACACTGATTCCACTTCAGCTTCTCAAATCAAATGGAACAAAATGTGTGATGGTATCATCTCTTGAATTCATATCAATCAATTTTAAGTTATCAATCGAGGAAGATAATGATTTTTATTGATCTTACCTTGGGTGGTATGTGACCGCTGTCAAATTATTTTCCTGAAGGTTGGGGATCCAAAGCAGCTTCCTGCAACTGTGTTGTCTTGTGTGGCCAGCAAATTTCTATATGAGTGCAGTATGTTTGAGCGTATGCAAAGAGCTGGTCATCCAGTGGTAATGCTTACCGAACAGGTAATGACAAGCTCAACTCACATCAGATGACCGCTTCAAGACATGTTTTTTCGTCGATGTTGTTGATTATTGAATTTCTTAACGAAAATGAGATAAAGAAAGATATGTTTGCATTTATTTAAAGAACGTCACTGGTTCTTTTTTGTGAGATATTATGAATTTGGATGACCATTTATCATCTACGGGTATATGAAAATTTTAGAATAATGTTTATAAATAGTGAACACTGATCTTTGGAGCATTTTCTTGTTTTCATAAATCTAAAATCTACGGTGTACATGCTATGACAAGTAAAAGTAGATGTTGAATTGATTGGTACTTTGGTCTAAAGTCGTGGAGAATTGTACTCACATGGAAAAAAAATCTAACAAATCAGACCTTGATTTTGGATTAAAGTTTCGTCAATAATCAGAACAAGACAATAAGTTGGTTACAAATATAAAATATTTATTTTTCATAAAAGTTTGGCCTTTTCTACTGGAATCATTCTCATTTTCTGCTGTCTTTTTCATGTGACCATAATTTGTAACTTTTTGAATGGAAGTAGATATTCATTTAATTATGGCCGAATAATAGAAATAGAAATATGGCATTTCAGATTTCCCTGTCAGAGAAAATATAAATCTGATTTAAGACTTGTTGATTTAGATAAATTTAGCAGATGATGCTAATCAACAGTAACAGCCAGGTAAGAAAAAATAGCATTTTAATTAAAAATTAAAAGTATCGAAAGCAGACTTTATGGTGCGCATCCTTGAACTTTCGGAGAGACATTGAAGTGTGCGGAGGGGAAATTGTTGAGTAGTGTAAAAAAATCCATTTATTCCAGATATTTTTCATCTTATCGATGTTCGGATGCTATTTCTAATGAGGCTGACTTTTCTCCTCCACTTTTCAAAGTATCGTATGCATCCAGAAATATGCAGATTTCCTTCGACGCATTTCTATGGGGACAAATTATCAAACGGCCTTCAGATGGCCAGCAAGTCCGCGCCGTTTCACGAGACTGGTATTCTGGGGCCGTACATGTTCTTTGATGTTACCGATGGTCGCGAGAATCACGGAAGGGGAAACAGTTCTCTCTCTTTGTATAATGAGTCAGAGGCTGATATGGCTGTCAAAATTGTGAAATTTCTCAAGAAAAGGTACTCCTTTTGTTTCTCTCTCTAGGGCTCCACTTGTTTCAGTTTGACCTCTCAAGTTGTAGCAAGATTCTAGGTGCAGCCTCTCACCATGGTCTGTAATTTCTGAGACAGGTACCCTTCAGAATTTTCTGCCGGAAGAATTGGAGTTATAACGCCCTACAAGAGTCAACTTTCGCTGCTGCGTTCTCGATTCAGCGGTGCGCTTGGTCCGAGTGTTACGGCTGATGTGGAGTTCAACACTGTGGATGGCTTCCAGGGCCGTGAGGTTGACATCTTAATACTCTCAACAGTCAGAGCTTCCGTGTCCAATCCCAGAGAGCAGGGAAGCAAGTCAAACAGCATTGGTTTTGTCGCGGATGTGAGACGGATGAACGTTGCTTTGACTCGAGCCAAGCATTCTCTCTGGATTGTCGGAAATGCGAGGACATTGCAGACAAATCTCCATTGGTGTGCTCTGGTGAACGATGCTAGAGAGAGAAACCTGTTCATATCTGTGGCCAGGCCCTATAGGTCTGCCTTTAAGAGTGCTCCGGGCTTCGCCAAGGAAGATGTCAACTCTCCTCAGCTGGAAACGAGCTCGAGTCAACGCAAGAAAGCCGACGCCAGAGTTGCAAGGTATACCGAGGAAGAGCAGCGAAGGAAAGCAAAGCCTGCAAAGAAAGAACCAGAAAGAAAGGAGAACAGCGCTATGCGGTACCAAGTCTCAGATAAAGTAGACGGAGGAGGGGGAGAAAGCACCGGGCTCCCATCCAGCAGGCAACCTTACAGGTCCGAGAATCCGGAGATTTATGTGAAGAGACTCGTCGCAGAAACCGATCGTCACCGCAAGAAAGACGTTTCAAGAAGAAACAGTGAATCGGAAAGCAGTGCAGCTGGTTCCAAGGAGAAGACCGAGGTATCTACTGGTCAAACGGAGAATCTTCATACAAAGTCATCAGCCACCAGGAAGGCTAAGAGGATGCACAGGGCTTCAGAGCCTTGTGTCCCGTCCGCTGATGCACAGTCGTCGGCTGTGGGAACAAATCACGGAAAAGATGCGGAATCCAAGGGAAACAATGAGAGTTGGGGGAATTCTCGCGAGGATCTGATATCAAAGAGGAAGCGACAGCGTGAGGCTGTTGATGCTCTCCTGTCTTCAGCGCTCATATCTTCGAAGAAGCCTGAGAGTTTACCAAGGCCTGCACCTAAGAGGAGGCCTTAGAACTTCTAGTCAAAGCAGAGCAGAGGCAAGCTCTCCCCTTTTATTTTGTCATTCAATTTTATCTCTCTCTTTAAATATTTTTACCGCTTTATTTTTCCCACTTCTGAAAAAAAAAAAAAAAAACTCTTGGAGGGTTGACCGGCGCAGAATGTCAGAACCCAAGCTGGCCCCTAGATACTGTTAGAAAGTCAAGCATCCCCATTGGAATAAAATTGTCGGTGATTTTTAGATTGGGTTGACCGTGAAAACTAAAGGTCAAGGTCAACTAGAAGGCAGCGGAAGGGGGTATAGAGGACATTACCAAAAACTGGTAGATATCATCTTAAGTTTGAATCTGTATATATTTGTATTAGAGTTGCGCATGAGCCTGCCGAATCATGAGCGCATTTTTCTTAGATTATCCAAAAAGGGTAATTACCATTGACTTTGAGATATTCCTTCTGATCTGTGGCTCCCGTCGTTCTTCCACAGACAAGACCGAAGATCCAAGATGGACCAAAGGGGGTGGAGCTTCTCCTCTCTGTTGCCTGACTGCGTCGCCGTTTTTGCTCTTCGCCGGGGCCATGGAGCGGCGTTTCAGAGCGACATATTCTCGCAGTTGACAGAGGCCCGTTGACTCTTGCTGTTGACCTCCTGTACAGTCTAGTTCTAGTCTGGTGAGGCTTTTTCTCATCTGCCATTCATCTCCATACAGATTGCAGTGTACAGGTCTTAGCGTCAACCCTGCAAGTCTAACATGAACCTCCGCGGCAGCCAATTTTTCATCTGCCCATTGAATTATATTCTTTTGATCCTCTTCGTTTCTGGCGGCGATTGCTGTCACATCGTACTAGTTTCATCAAAGGTACAAATTTAATATATTCATGCATCAATATGGTCACATCCTGCGTTAACAAAGTTGTATTAAATCATTTCTTTTATAAAGCAATTAAATGGCCCGGACTTACCCCGAATGCCCAGAGTCGGTAGCCTCGGAGCTTTGAATGCGTTGGGGTTAGGGGGGTTGGATGGCTACCTAATGGAGTGAATGCAGCTCACTCACATGCCCGCCCGTCAGATTGTGTCCTGCACCAATGAAGACTCTGAGAGTAGAGAGAGAGAGAGAGAGAGATGGTAGGTTTTGGTGCTGGTGCGGGGTGGAGATGGGGAGTGCCAAGAGGAGAGCTTGGAGTGGTTCTGATCGTCGTAGTCATAGTATTCTCTGGTTGGCGGTGTGAGGGGAGGGGTTGCGACGACGGGGAGAGGAGGGCTCTGCTCGAGATCAAGAGGTCCATAAACTTCCCCCACGGGTCGGCGTTGCCGGACTGGCGCATTTCCGATGCCGCCGACGACTGCTGCCGGTGGAGCGGCGTCACATGCGACCCCGTCTCCGGCCGCGTTGTCGAGATCGACTTGCACGGGGAGAGGACCCCTGGGGACGAGACTTGGAGTCCCAGCCTCAGCTCGCTAGCGGAGCTCACGGAGTTGCAGAGTCTGGATTTGGGGGCCAACCAGATGAGCGGGGACTTTCCGGACAGTAAGCTTCTCTCTCCTTTGTTTCTTTGTTGAAGATTGATGAGATTCGGTTTGCACTCACGCCTTCTTCCTGGGTTCCTCTCCCTCGCGCCAGTTTTCTGCCACGCAATGCACCTCAGGAAGCTCTCTCTGACGGCGAACTCGCTGGGGGGGCCCGTGCCGCCGTGCCTCTGCGCCATGCGCTCCCTCGCGTACCTCGATCTCTCTGGGAACCAGTTCCAGGGCCACATCCCGCAGTGCCTCTGCGAGATGAGCTCCCTCACGCATCTCTACCTCTTTGACAACAGCCTCCAGGGCGCCATCCCTGCCTGCCTCGACGAGTTGCACTCCCTGCGAGAGCTCGACGTATCCATTAATCAGCTCCAGGGCCCCGTTCCGCCATCCCTTTGCAGCTCCCACTCTCTGATCCATCTCGATCTATCGTACAACAGTCTGCAAGGGAGTGTCCCTTCGTGCCTCGGAGACCTGCGCTGGCTCAAGTACCTGTACTTCGAGGGCAACCAGTTCGAGGGGAGCATCCCTCCCATCTTCCCCAACCTAACCGATCTGACTCATGTCGGGCTCGGAGGTGATCGACTGGAGGGCACTCTGATGTTCTCCATGTTCGCCAACCTTTCGAAGCTCGAGATCGTATCCATCTACTCCAACAACAGCCTAGAGGTCGATACAGAGTCACCCTCCCCCTGGGTCCCTTCCTTCCAGCTCACGACCCTGATCGTATCCAACTCCGAGGTGAATAGGCGTAGCGGCAACAGACTTCCCAGCTTTCTCTCGACCCAGAACAAGTTACATTACCTCCACATGCTGGGCACTTCCGTTGCAGGGTCAAGTCCCCTTTCCCTCTTCTGCAACTCCACCCTGACATCCATGGATCTGAGAAGGAACGAGCTCCACGGCCCTCTTCACTTGCCTTGCCCTAACACATCGTCGAATGCCTACTACATCAATCTATCCTACAACCGTATACGTGGATCTCTTCCTAGGGACACCGGCCTTTTCTTCCCCACGTTGATTTATCTCAACATGGCTGCGAACGAGCTGGAAGGAAGCATTCCCGCGTCCCTCGGGCAGATACCCCTGCTTCTACTAGATCTGAGTAACAACAGGTTCTCCGGGGAGGTGCCCCATTCCTTGACTAGAAATCGCACAGAATTGTACTATCTGAACATCTCCTTCAATCATCTGGAAGGAGAGATGTTCGCCGACCAGGTCTACCTGCCCAACTTGCGGTTCCTGTTTCTCAGTCACAATAGACTCATGGGATCGGTTCTCCACAAGCTGTCCAACGCTTCCAATCTGGAGGCCCTCGATGCCGGTCGTAACGGCTTCTCGGACAATCTATCCCGCAGCGTGATACCGCAGTTCCCTTCTATGACCGTACTTTCCCTGAGAGAGAACAGTCTCAGCGGCCATCTGCCGGCTCAGCTATGCGAGATGGAGAATCTACACCTGCTGGACCTCTTCGGGAACAACTTGTCCGGACAGATCCCACCTTGTGTGAACAACATTTCGTTTTGGAAGTCGAAGAATGAAGCTGGCGCGGTCCGCAGAGCGTGGTGGCTTGACAAGGATGCTTCGCAGACGGCGGGAATCATATACTTCACTTCGAAGAACATGTTCAGCCCTTACAAAGGCGACCCTCTTTCGTGGATGACCGGACTGGACTTATCGTCGAACAGGATCGATGGCCTTATCCCCCCGGAGGTGGGACAGCTGAAGGGGCTTAGATCGCTGAACCTATCGAACAATTTCCTCCGAGGTTCTATCCCGGCGTCACTGGGCGATATGGACGACTTGGAAAGCTTGGACCTTTCGCACAACGATCTGAGCGGTGAGATCCCTCGTGAATTAGTCCGACTCCACTTCATTTCCAGTTTTAGCGTCGCCTTCAATAACTTGTCGGGCGTGATCCCCTATGAGAAACAGTTCTCATCCTTTTCAAGGAAGAGTTATGAAGGGAACCAAGGGTTATGTGGTCTTCCGCTGGAAATAGACTGTCCCGCCGATCGGCAAGAAACACGAGAGATCGGGGCAGGTAAAGACAAGTCCGCAAGGTTGGAAGATGGCATGTTTTACTCTTTTCTGGCTATGTCGGTTGGCTTGGGGTTTTGGGGATTTCTCGGCATGCTTTTACTCAATAGGCGGTGGAGGATGAGATACTTCAACGCCATTGATGGGTATTTTGACACGTACGTGGAGAGCTTTCGGACTGATGGTACACATTCCTAGTCAAAGTTGACATCCTGGTGAACAATGGGGTTGCATGGAGTACCTTTAAGGGGGGGGGGCTCCTTCTCTGCTGAGTTTTCTCATACAGAAACTGATGCGCATTTTGCAGACAAGCCGTGTGGCCTCTTTCTGGTTGTAAATTATACGTATATCTTATGTTTCCAAACAACCTTGGCGACAATATTGTTCTGCAATGTTTAGCTTGGAGCTTCTTCACCAATTCTTTGGACAGTGAGGAGAAAGTAGCATAACCTTGGTGGTTATGGGTGTCAACGACTTGCTATGCAAAAGCTCAGGCCTAGTAATTGTGGGTGTTAAACAAGCCAAGAAGGCCAGGGTAGTTCTTCATAGGGTGTCCTTTCTGATGTTGTTCCCATGTTCAAAGATTAGGGCAGTTCCAAGTCTTTGAAATAAATGCCGGGGTTCAGTGTAGACATGGCAAGGCCATTGACTCATGTCGGGGCTCAATGTAGACATGGCCATTGACTCATGTTGGGGTTCAATGTAGACATGGCCATTGACTCATTGTCGAAGGATGTTATGCTCTATACATTTTTTATGTACATTTCTTGGAAGATACTCCAGATGCATGTCTCATCGACTTTTCTCCAATAGCCATCAGCTGGGTGCAGTGGCTCAAGAAGAATTATTCATTACTAACCGTAGTTATTAAGATTGAAACGTTAAACAGCTGCTCGCATGGCACACATGAAATTTCAGCCCAAATAAGATAACAAGATGTCTCAAGTGAAGATTAAGGCACATGACTTTTCAAGAAATTAAAACACATGAACGAGATTCAGGTGGTCAAATATTACTCAAGCAGTGGGGTAGATGATCACTCCACATAGATGACACTCCCTCAAGATTTTGTACCAGAGGTTGCTCTTCGTCTCCCTATCAGGCATCACTCGCTCTCTTAGTTTCTATTTCGACCATGTTAGGGCCAACTTCTTTCACGATCCCTTCCAAATTCCCAATACAAGAGCTCATGTGTATTAATGAATGGCTTCTATGATTTCTCCTGTTTTGGCTCCTCATTGAGATCATACATGTCCATAAGCACATTACCAGTCTACACCGTCCATTCCCATTGACTCAAGTTCATCTCCGATCTCACTATCATATTGGCATTTGAAAGTGAATAGGCTCACATGGAAAAGCTCCATCTACACATGAAGAAGGAAATGAGAAGTTCAAATTTTTTAGCCTTCTTGATAATCTAACATATCTATGAACTTGGCTATGATCCTTTCTTCCCCAAGTGGGGAATTATTGTTCTCATTTTTTAGTTTGTTTTTCATTAAAGTTATTCTATAGTCATGAAAAAATGAGCTTAAAGTAAATTAATGTAGGGGCGAATGCCTAACTTGATACAAATTCTCGCTACTTATCAAGAACTGTAATCTATTAATAGACAGGGAAATACTAATATAATGCATGTGATTTAGGTATATTTATTTATTTATTTTCTGACTGAAAGGCAAGTTACCAAGAAAACTGTTAAATAGGAGGCACCCATAAGAAGAGTTTCATTTGTAATGACAAGCTAAAAGAATATATTTGGTTAGTTGAAACATTTGTCGAGTTGATAAACATTTTGACAAGGTATGTACATTATGAAAGATGTATGTTTCATTTGAAAGATGTCATTTATAAGAAGAATTTTATTTTGAGGAAACTGATTACTTGACCCTTAAAGAGACCAATAAAATGTTGTTTGGTAGTGATAGTATTTTATCAAAAAAGAAAGTCCATATAACTCTTTTTAATCAGCATCTCCTTAGTTTTCATTCTTTATTCTTTACCCTTTTCATCTAAACTTTATACCATTTTTCTTTGTATCATTTTTAAATGGATATTATTTCAAATAAAACCATGTTCATCAGTAATTTTATTGTTGAAATGGTAGTAAAATTCTTTTCTTAAATTTTCTAAACATAGTACAGCTTGATGCAAAGAAACATGGGTCATGCTATGCACCAAAAAACATTGGTCTTTACGTTTCAACTAAACCAAGCTTAATGGACATCAATTAGTGACACTCAACATTTATGGGAAAGAATTTTTTTTTTTTTGACATATATTCTTTAGAGTTATGGCTGTGATGCTAAAATTTAATTCAATAATTCATCATAAATATTATTTTAAGTTTTTTCTAGAATTTCTGTAGCATTTTTTTTATATTTATTTCTTTGAATAAAAAGTACATGAGTGTAAGATGAAGTAGAAAATAAAAAACGAGCTTAAGGTGATGTCCTTCTGAACTTCACCTTTTATTACAGTATTTCTAGTACTTAAATTTGTATATATACATGTTTTGTTTGGAAATAATTCTATTCTACATATTTCGTTTCAATTTTTCTATCACATTGAGGACATTAGATTGGGGGGTGAAGTACTAAGTCTTAATTTTTTCTGTAGAATGATTAAGCACATGTGTTTGCATTTGTTTTCATGCTTATAAATAAAAGTAACTAGAATAAAAAATTTGAAATAACTATAACATCTGTTTGTTGGTTTTCTACTAAAAATTGTAGAAAATACTTTACATACAGTCAAAAAAATAGAATAAATAATCTAAAATTTACAAATTAAGAGCTTTTTCTCACAATTCAATCACGTAGACATATATTACTAAAATTCAAAAATTACTACTATAAAAATGATAGTCTTGATTTATTTTTGACAAATTCGTAGTTATTGAAAGCATAACTAAAAATAGGAAATATAATTGTTATGACTATCTAATTTACAAATTTCTTACATCATATTACATGGATGAAAAATTAAATCAATTATAATGATTGATACCAAAATAGATTAGGATAATTATTGACGAGTTAGAATAATGATCATTATCATTAGATGTTTGAATACTCCTTTGTTACATGATAGATGCTTAAATTTTATTTTATGGAATTTTTACTTTATGATCTCAATAGATAATAAACATGATGTGAAAATTTGATTGATCATTTGGGTTTGATAAAGATCTTTACATCTCAATCTATAAAATTTGTGACGAGAAATCATTTATTTTAAATTTAAAAAATGATAACATAAATCCATATTAATAAAGAGTATACATAGAGGATATGAGACATCATTCTCATTGTCGAAATTCATTCATAAGAAAAGCATGGCTGGTAATAACTAAAGAGATGAAGAGATAGCTCTGAAAATTATAGCATGAAACTGTTAATGAAGACTACACATGTAGTGTGTGAAGAATTTATTTATAGGAAAAATATTTATTTATTAAAGAAAAATAAGATAAATAATACAAACTTCAAAAATCAAGTAATAGAAAAGGGAATAAAAGATCAATATGATTCTTGAATGATGATTCATAGTTTGACCATCTTGTGATTTATTTCTATGAGAAAAGAAGTGGTAATTATGTGATTAGAAGAAGTAGAATCTTGATTGTTATTTTGAAGAGTGTTTAAATATTAAAATAATTAGTATTATTTTTCTTACTTGATATAAGAATCCATGGTATCTCAAGGTATATCATTTGTTGTTGTATTTCATGTATTGAAATATGACATTTGAAATTTGTAAATCTTAATTATTTTGCATAATTTTATTTTTAAGAGACTAATAATGATTTAAGTTAAAGAGTGTGATAAATCTTCATTATCATGAGTTAATAATTAATTAATAATATATTTTAAATCTTAAGTCACAATAAAAAGATTTCTATTCATGTTAAATTAAGAAGAAGGGTTTTTAGTTGATTAATGTAAATTTTTAGTTAATTATGTTTTTGAGATAAAATGAAGGGAAATAAAATAAACTATAACAAAGTGGGGACTTACTTGCTAGCTAGGCCTACAAGCAAGTAATAAGCATAGTTAGGAGACATGCTAGCCTACTAGACCTGTAAGTAGGTCAGAAGCACAATCTTGTGGACCCATTAGCAAAGGGCTCAAATGGTTGAGGAATGGTCACAGAGTACATGTGTCATTCTCCTTCCACATCACTAGTGGCTAGCTTGATGTGGGACAAAGAGTGATCGTACACATGTGAAAAGACTATATTGACCATAAGTAGAGATAGTCTCAAAACTCAAAAAATAACTAATATGAGACTAGACTCACGTCACTACTCTTTGATAGTTTTTTAACAATTTTAATACCCAAAATATCACTGATTTATAAGAAGAAGATACCCTTATGTATCACTTGATAAGGGTATTCATGTACTTATGTAATCTTTCTCATATAAGTGGGTATTTGACAAGGGTTCAAATCTCATTAGAGTCAAAATTCAAGTTTTTATCTAATTAGATAATGAGAATCTTATAGAGCACTAGTTAATGATTTAGCTGTTATAATTACTTAATAATCAACAAAAATATCATGAATGTGATTCTCAAAATATTATCACTAATTATCAAATGATTATCAATAAAAAAATTATGAATCTATCAAGAAAATCATCTTCGATTAATTAATAAATGAGATGTCGTTAGAAAGAGTTGATCTACTAAGAGACTACCCCTTCCTAAGAGTGTACCATATGTGATGAAGAGCTTTTTCTTCTTGCACAAACCTAAAGATGAAGCTCTCTAAGATATGCCCGATTTCTATTTTATTTATCTTTGATGAGTCACAAACACTAGAGATTCGAAAGTTATTATTATTCTGCTCCACTAAGTGACAATTGTCAAAGACAATTCATTGACCTATTTTATTAATTTTTAGACTTCACAAGAAGTTCTAAAGATTGCTCACATTATTTATATCCAAGAAAACCCCTTGAGGCCATAAACATTACATAATAATTTTATTAAACACATAAATTTTAGTGATTAATTTTGAAAAGTTGGAATTCTATTTTTCTACTTTAAAGTTTTTTTTGTTTAATTTACTGATGTATTGTGTGATTTTTAGTAACAAAATTCTTTTTCATTTAATTATGATTCTTCTAACTTTTATAGATCTTAGTTTGATCAATTAAATCATATGTGATCATTTATATAAGGATCACTTAACATAATTTTTTTTTCGCATAAATCACATTTTTTGGGTTATTGATGTCATATTAACATTCACACGAATTTCTATTTTTTATAAACTTTTAAATATATTTTATCTTTACCATTTAGTTTAAAAATTATAAAAAAATATTTTCTTTGATTTTTTTTAAAAATATTATAACATATTATCTTACATCTATGTGATTGACAAGATTTTCTTTCACTATTTTTAGAATATTTTATAGAATTATAATTAATTTATTATTTCTAAAAATTAAAATTAGTATTTATAATTTGATAAAATGTAAATGTTCATTATATATAACAATTCAGTCACATCATATGCCCTTAACATCATTTCAAATTTTGTCATAATCATAGATCTATTTTAAGTGTTTACACCAGATGTTAAACTACAAGGAATTAAACTAGATTAAGAGCTATGCTTTTAGCTCCTCTTAGCTCTAGAAGGACCTCATATCTCTCACCCATTAGAACCAAAGGAGATCACATCCATTCAACCTAAAGTTTGCTTCTACTAATCTCTCATGGCTTGTCAACCTATAAGTGACAAGGTACAGTTCTACTCAAAGTATCCAACCTTTTGGGCAGGTAGCTCCAGCTGCCTCGACTATCCTTGAAAATCTCCTGGGAACACTTTCATTACGCCCAAATTTGGAAGGTTGTGGTCAGAAGCTGTCATCGTAGACTCCAATTCTTCAGTAATCTCGTTCAGATCACCACTTGCTGATCTCTTTGGTCTCAATTTCTTCCAACTTTGGTCAGGTTGGAGTTTCTCCTTGTCGTTTTTGTTATCCTGGTGGAGTAGCCTCTCCACTTTTAATCTGAGTTAGTGTCCTGATTTGCTGTCAAACTTCGGCTTGATCATTCTTGACCTCCACCTGGAACTCGACTTGTTGGGTCTTCATCTCCTGCCAAAATTCTGCTCCCTCGGTCTTCTCTCTAAGGATATTGTCTCACACTTTCTCCATTTCCTTCTCCATAGTTCCCCATTTGGGATTGGTCGGCTTCGGCCCAGTGAGGGATCTAAGTTGGTGGCTCTAATACCAATTGATGCATTCCCACTTAAATGGCCAGAACATAGTCTATACAATGTTGTAAGCTCGAGAATAGAGGGAGAGGGGCCACGGATAGGACTGGGGGGAAAACAAAAATAGAATAAGCTGGGGAACAACAGAGACTTTGGGATAACTATAGAGACTCGGGGAGTCCTCTTGGTAGCCGATTAGAGATGACAACTCTCCTTCTTCCCTGCGCCAGGAGCTTGGACTTACGAATCTTCATTCCTCTTCCTGGTGCCGAGGTTTGTCTCCTTCTGACTAGTTCCGCAAACTACTCATGAACCCAGATGTTAGTTCCGTTGTAACAGGCCGACCATCCTTGCCATCAACCCAGTCCGGTTTAGGGTACTTTGGGCTGCTTGTGTTAGTCTCTGGGCCGTTGCTGCCATTTGGCCTCCTGGCACGACGTGACGGTTAAAGCCGTTCGCCCATACCAACAGGATCTCTTCTTGCGAGGGTGAGGGTCTTCGATCAGCACCTCTACACATTACTGCATTCATTTTTTTACAGCTCACTCCATCTACAAATAGATATTGAGTTTTTTTGCAATTTCCCTTGGTTTCTCATATTTTTAAGGTTGTTATTTATTCTATTGTTGTTTTCGACGAGAAGCTCGTCGGGGGCCTCTGACCTCAATTCATGAGCAGTTTGAACTCCTTGGTTTATCTATTTTATTATTTTAAATTCCATACCAAAGTACTGAAGACTTTTTAGTGCTTTAATGATGACCATAATATATTAAAAGTAATTCGGGTATTTTCATAAATGTGAAAATATTATTTAAGTTATTTTACGATGCTTAATAGTGTGGAATACTCTTTTGATATTTACTTGAAGTTATTTTACAAGGATGAGAGACGAAGTTATTATCTTCTCATTATTATCGGGCATTAATGATGTGTAAAATAGATTTGTCTTTCGAGCCAGGATCAGATTTATTTTGACATTGGGCCTGTGATAAAAAAATAAAATTGATATGAAAACGGCCCATAGCCCGTTTATTTCATACATGGCCCATCTTGTGGCCCTCCTAGAGGAGGAAACAAGCAACGAATGGGGGGTGGTGGCTGTGAGTTACCTCAAAGTCATAGCAGCTCTCTCCCTCTCTTTCCTCTCCTTTCTCTCACGCGCCGTCCTCTCTCTCTCCTCTCCTCTCCTCTTTCGCGCATGCTGAATGAATAGCTAGCTCTCTCCTCTTTCGAACCTCTGGCTATGTTGGCGGATGATAGAATGATTCTGAATGAGAGGAAGAAGAAATGTTCAAGGCGATGGCACGCTCCAGTCCTCAACACAGATGGACTTCTCCTTTATTTATTATTGTCGTTGTTCTTATGCCAGTACCCCGCAACTTACCAACGATTCTCTGTTCCTTTTCTCCGAAGGCAACGTCCACAGAATCACCCTTCGTTAACCTCCTACTTGAAACCTTCTTAGATTCTGGTCTGATTTCCTGGAGATCACAATACAGATGTTGATGAGGGAGACATGACTACTGAAGAGGATCTGCCTCCTTTCATAGATCAGACTAGAGATTTTGGGGGCCAGGGCCTTTGTAGTTTATCTTCATTCTTCTGTAGCATGACTCCCTCCACAGCAGCTCTGACCGTAGTAGCGGTATTCGGCCGAATTACCTGAACCTGTGTGATCACCTTATATCTCATCTCCTCTCGAGTTTCCATTTTACAGTTCTCGTCTCTCTCTGTCTTAACTTTGGACTGTGATAAAACCCAACACAGCACAGTTCTTCCTCTTTGTCCTTCTTGGGTGGTTGACCTATAAAGTAGTCATCTTTCTCACTTTCATTTTTTCTTCGAGCGGGAACTACGCCGACAAAGTGAAGGCCGGGAAGCCTAATTGCGAGAACCAACAAGATATCTCTCAAGTGGCAATCTTCCTGCAACGAAAAGATTCCGGTAAATAAAACAACGATGCGATATTATTAAATTCAAAATTAGTTAAACTAAAAATGCGCTAGCAGTGCAACCACTCAGCAGAAGAAAATCACAAGATTATTAATTCAATTAAGAAAAGGTTTCATTGAGCTCGGAATTTCAAATGGGTTTCCCCAAATGCCACTCTTGCATGGTCAACCAATCAAGAATATTTTTAACTTTACCACTCAACGTGAAGCTTCTTCCCTCACCATTTCCATGACCATTCCTGGTATATTTTTCTTTCTAACACCAAAACTCTGCATTAAACCGATCGTTCAAGCGAGTATTGAATGGAAGATGCAGGAAATGAAGAGAGTTATTCGAGGGGTAGGTTGGCCGTCTTTATTGCAGTATTATTGTGCCGAGCTGAATCCGGCAACTACCCTAGGACTCATGACCGTCGCCCTTCTCCCCTTCTCCCTTTCTCCCTTTCTCCCTTTCCTGGAGGACACGTCAATAGCAACACCTTTCATCATCACAGCTTCCGGGTGGCTTGGCAGCTTGTGGAACCCACCCTGATACTCGCGAGCCAATTGTTTTTCAGCCAGATAGGCCAAAAAGAAAACGGTCCACGTTTTTGTCCAGACGAGATTCTGGGGCCTAGGCCTTTGTTATTTATTCCGTTCTTCAATCGTAGGGCCCGCACTTTCTCGTTGTGTAGGCTTGTGCACGAACCAGTCAAGCCTTTATGTTTTCCTCGATTCTTATCTCACCGTAATTAATCATTTGCTATTCACTCTCTCTCTTTCTCGACTTTCGATTCTTTCATCGACAACGTACTTGTCCCAGAAGTTGATTCGCCCCCGCCCATGAGGTCTTCAAAAGTTTCTGCCACTACTTGGCACCAACTAAACTATTAGGTCATTGCTGCTTTTCCACTTTGAAGAAATTGCAGACCGAACTTCTTTTTAACAATTTCAGTCACTGGCATGCCCATGAGGAATGCAACGGCATGCCCCGATCCCATTTAGTGTCGGGTATTTCAGTCAACGACGACGGCGACTTCAGCGGACGACTCGGCGCCGCCCATTTATCCGACGTTAATTAATCATTGATTAAGAGCCGCACAGGCCCCCCTCACGTTGTCGCAGCGCTGATGCATGGATATAAAACCCCGCATTCGGTTGTCTCGCCGCATCAACAAGCCTACCGCGAGGGAGCCTGCCGGTGACAATTTGTGGAAGAAATATGATTTCTTCTTCTGCTGGTGCCGCTAGGACCTTACGGGGTGTCGTCGTCCCTGGAACACTGATCCTAGTTCTCGTCATCATAGCCTCGTCTGGGTTCGAAGTGATGGGTTGTCACGACGAGGAGCGGAGTGCTTTGCTCGGGATCAAGGCGTCCATGAACAAGAACGACGGCTTCGCGTCACAGAGCTGGGGCAACTCAGCGGGAGACGACTGCTGCCAATGGAGAGGTATAGACTGCGATCCCAACACCGGTCGCGTGGTCGCGATCGATCTGTACGGGGAGATGTGGAGTGATACAGGTGAGGGGATACCGCAGCCGAACCTCACCATGCTGGCGAAGTTTGGGCAGCTCGAGAGTTTGAATTTGGCGCTCAATAGCATGGGCGGTGGGATTCCAGAGGGTAAGCAACTTTCCCCAATGAAGGCAGATAACTGGTTCATTTACTTCCTTTTTAGTTAAAACAGCGTTCAGATTAGTCAATGCTAGTGGAAATACTGGACAACTTATCCCTCTCATTGAATCATTTCTTGAAGGAGTTTCCCCTTGTTTTTTTTTTCGTGTCTCGCAGTCATTTGCGACTTGGAGAAGCTGAAGATCCTAGATCTTTCCATGAACAGATTGACGGGTTCCGTCCCATCGTGCCTGTGTAGCATGAGGTCCTTGGCAGAACTCCATTTGTCCTCTAACGCCTTGGAAGGCGTTGTCCCTTCCTGTTTCGGCAGATTTCGCTCCTTGACACTTCTCAGTTTATTCGACAACAAGTTCACAGATAACTACTCATCCTGGGTGTGCAGCATGCAGTCCTTGACACAGCTCCAGTTATCCTATGACACAAACCCTGGCAGCATCCCAGCATGTCTCGGCAACTTGCACAAGCTCATATACTTAGGATTTCACGGGGATAAGTTGTCTGGGACGATCCCTTCTCCCGTTTTCCATAATCTAACCGACTTAGGCACTCTAGAAATCAACAGTGATAAGTTGGAAGGCACTTTCATGTTCTCAGCTTTGGCCAACCTTTCCAAACTCAAAGAGGTAGACATCTCCGGTAGAAGTTTAGAGATCGACACCGAAACCCCTGTTTCTTGGTTTCCATCCTTCCAACTCTCATTTTTGTCTTTACGTTATTGTATCATTAATAGTCGCAACGCCGGGAGGCTTCCTACATTTCTATGGTCCCAGAGAAAAATAAAAATCTTGTTTTTAAGGGACGCCGAGATCACAGGGACCCCGCCCATTGGTCTTTTCTGCAACTCCAGTTTAGGGTCTCTAGACTTAAGAAATAACAGTATTTCTGGCTTATTCGTTGTGCCTTGCCGCAATGCTTCCTACGATGCTTATGAAATCAATTTATCACATAATGATATCTCCGGACCACTCCCTGAAAATATTCACCTTTCTTTTCCTAAGTTGAATATTCTTAGGATTGCCGGAAACAAGTTGGAAGGACGAATTCCCCCATCCTTGGGTGAGAGACAACTGGTTCTATTAGATTTAAGTGACAATTATTTATCAGGTGAAGTGCCCCATGCTATTACCATGAATCAGAGTTTATTATTTTATTTAAGTCTAGCTCAGAACGAGCTCCAAGGGGAGATGCTTCCAGTTCATGCTTATATGCCAAAATTATCAATCTTGATCGTCAATACCAACCGATTCACCGGGTCACTTCTCCCAAAGTTGGCCAACTCTTCTCTTCTTTTTCTCATTAGTGCAGGACAAAATCAATTCATGGAAAATTTCTCTCAGGGCCTACCTCTTCTCCCTTTACTGAGTATATTTTCCATGACGGAAAATCGAATTCAAGGAAACATACCAAGAACTTTGTGTCAAATGCAAAACCTACGAATGTTAGATCTTTCCAGAAACGACCTGTCTGGAGAAATTCCAGCTTGTATTCAAAATATTTCTTCTTGGAAGTCAAGCAGCTTGAAAACTGCCAGAGTATGGCAAGACAGCGGCATTGCAGATCCACTTTTATTCTTAACTTCAAAGAAGTTGGTATTGCCGTACACATCAGACGTTCTTTTCGCGATTACTATCCTTGATCTATCATCGAACAAGATTCATGGAGTTATTCCTGGGGAAATTGGAGAATTGACGTGGCTTCGTCAACTGGACTTTTCAAATAATCAAATCCGAGGTTCTATACCCATCTCAATCGGAAAAATGAATAAGTTGGAAAGTTTAGATCTGTCTCACAACAGTCTAAGTGGTAGAATTCCCAATGAAATGGATCAAATCAATAACCTCGCGTTTTTAAGCCTTGCTTTCAACAACTTGTCCGGTCCTATCCCGAATGGTGTACAGCTCGGAACTTTTAAAAAGGCTAGTTTTGAAGGTAATCCAGGATTATGTGGACTGCCACTTGAAAAGATTTGCTCTTCCGATCGGATCGGAGATGAAGGAAAGCACGACTCCCAAACACTGGAGAAGACATTATTTTACACATGTTCTGCACTGTTATTTGGTTTGGGTTTTTGGGGATTTCTTGGCGGCCTTTTCTTCAATTTAAGGTGGAGGATGAAGTATTTCAAATTTATTGATGAATTTTATGACATGTACCTACGGGACCTTTGAAAGATTCTATGATACTCGTGTGGAAATGTCACCGAAAGTTTACATGTGAACAGTTAAAATTTTTGGTTCGGAAGTTTTAAACTGATTTTTGTCATGGTGATCCCTGGTTTGGACTCGAGGGAATATTCCTTCAAAATGGTTCATTTTGATTCTTACTCAATGAAAGTTCTTTTCAATTTTCATAGAATCGAAGAAATGTATCGTACCAAATGCTAATTGATGAAAATCTGCATCTGATAGTTGACTTTCTTCTTTTTACCATATGGTTTCTCAATTTTTCCTCCTTTGAATATTTATGAAAGAGGAATACATAAGCTATTTGTACAGGCTCCAATAAATTTGCATCTGATTAAGATATTTTATCAGCCAGGGTTTATAAGAGTCTTCCTTTTAATCAGACACCAATGGTTGCAACTGATATAACTTAAAACGAAAAGGCGGTCAATCTATCAAGATGCCACTACTTATCTTGAGACCGTTATGATAGATGTATTCAATGTAATCTGATTTCGTCAACTAGGTTGAGTCGTGGATTTATTGCGAGCTCACTAGGAGATATTTAGTACGAAGTAAGATACTGTGATCGATTCCATAAAATATGAAGAGGGCCAAAAACATAATGTGCCTAAACGCAATAAGCTATTTTCTGTATCTACTTGAACCACGGCTACTGAGTCCAAAGGCACGATAAAATCAGACAAACATTATACTCTTAGATTTTCTTCTTGAAAGGGACTTGGGCGAATGACACGAAGGGCTAGCCAGAAGGTCCCACGTCTTGTATGTGTGAGCTTGGACAGCCCAATCAAACAGTGCGAGAGCTGATTACGGCCACAAGTTCATGAAAAATCTCCCTCCATAATAACTCCTGATGTTTATTGGCTTTCGTGATTCTAAGGGAACTTTTTTCGCTCTCTCCGAGATCATACTACAAAGCGGTCAGGCTTTATTTTTCATTTGTTGCCCCATATTTATGTGTATTGCTTGGTCACATGATCCACTTTTGACGGCTCATTAGTTACAATGGCCAAGGGTGTGTTCTCAATGATGTCACGACCTTATAACGAGTGAACTACACCGTTTAGTTGGAAGAATCATAAATGCCGTAAACAGCAGCGGCATCAACAGGGTGGGGGACGGGGGCAAAGGCCAGCCGTCGCATTTGCATGTCGACGCCCGCCAGAGATCGGAAACCCCTGAAACGATCATTGTCAAAGCTAAATGGAGGCCATTGACACGGACATGGTAATCCACAGGAGTGCGAACAAGGAGAGAGAGTGCGTAGGGTCTAAGGAGACGGTATGCCCCGGACTACACGCCTTGTTTGCCGCGCTAGAGTTAGTATTCTTTATTATATTGATTATTGCGGCAACTCGCTAAATAAATCGTCAATTAAGACGACCCCGTCGAGTGGGTGCTGCTTTGACGTTAAACCTTCCCCTTTCACTGATTTGACGTCGAAAGGCGCAAAAAGAAAGGGCATTGAGGTGGCCTCACCAGTGGGGATCTTAGTGTCGTCTGATCGGTGCTTCGAAGTTGCGGACTGCAGGGGAAAACGAAGAAGGACACCATCCACACAGAGATCTTTCACCCCATGAGGCTCTACAGCATGACCTCTCGGATCCCGTGGATGCAATAAATTGTACCCCCGGATCCATTAACTAGTTCTAGCGCACTATTCGACACTCAATTGTGAAGCTCCCACTCTCTCATCCATTGTGATCTATCGTACAGCAGTCTGAAAGAGAAATTCCTTTCAGGATAGGAAACCTTCATCGTCTCATACACATTCAATTGGAGGGTACCCAGCTCGAGGCGAGCGTCCCTTTCCATCTGCGCCAACCTAACCGACTTACCTCATGTTGGTCTCAGAGATAAGCGACTACTAGACACTCCAATGCTCCCGCTCTTCGCCAACCTTTCGGAACTGGAGATCGAAACCGATTCACTCTTCTCCACAGACTAACGACCTTGATGGTGTCATGTTCCCTCTCTTCTTTGGGAGCAGATCCCCTAGCTTCCTCGCGATCCACAACAGGCTACACTATCTACATATGTTAGTGACTTCCAATCCAGGCTTAAGTCCTCCCCCCCCCCCCCCCCACTCTTCTTCAACTTGAGCATGACATTCATAAATCTGGAACGGAAACGAGCTTCACGGTCATCTTCACTTACCTGGTTCTCATAGATCCTCTAATGAGCAGTATATTGATTTATCATATAATTGTCTAGATGGAGTTTTCTCCATGCCAGTTGAGCTATCTGTGGAGTCACCCTATAACTTGATTAGATATCATATTGCATTTTGTTTTTGAAATCTTTCAGAGTATCCAACAGAAGAAGAGATGATCTCTAACCATGATTTTAATCTCAATTTACAATTCTTGCTTTTCGATGACAATAGACTCAGGGGATCGATCAGTCGGTTAAGGTTCACTTTCAGACGCGAGATGGACGTACGGACTTGACAAACGAACGGCTCATTTCACGGACTGGCTCTCAAGGAAACGCGCCGCCCTCTGCCTTTGTCAGGCGTGGACCCTATACTTGTGAAAATGGGCCATCCTATTAGTTAATAGGGGCATCTCCTTACTGATCAGGGTTCTGAAATGAGAGAGACAAAAAGGGCTTGGGAGGGGCTGGCTGTTAGCATTCTGGAAGAAGAAAGCGCCGCCGCCGCCTGGTGTGCAGGCGACAGCCGCAGCCAGTTCTGCAGTATTCGAGAGGAAAACTCTATACTGGCCTGACCAGGAATGGCTTTTATTGCCAGATTCAACTTTCGGTGGACAGCACTTCCTCTTGGAAGTTGAGAAAATAGCTTGATGGCTTGATGGTGGTGCTTCACAAACTGGTGCTTCACAAACGGTGAGCATCATTGACTTCCGTTTGAAAAACACGCACATTCCTTGTAAAGGTAAATCTTTCTTGGATTAGTTGATGATGCTACCTAAATTTTGCTAATCAAAGAAAAATGATAATCAATATCATATTAAGTAATGTCAATCAAATTAAATGAAAATATATTAAATAGATTTTAGAACATATTTCATCAAAAGTTATTTCATTTGAATCTCATTTTTGAGAAATGTATATTTAATGATTGAATTTATATTAACCTTAATATCTAAAGCCAATTCATTTGAGAAATATTTTGATTCACAGTAGATGCGCATAGAAAATCAAAAGAATTAAAATTGGAAATTTTCAGGTTTATTGAAAGGTTTAAAGGAATATTGGGCTAAATAAGCGGGATATTATATCAGGCCCAATGCGCAGCCCATTACGATCGGCGGGGGTTAAAAAGGGAAAGAGAGGGAGAGTGTGAGAAAGGGAGGAAGGCACGCAACGCAACCTCCGTGTGATTGGCGGAGGTGGTGGTAGCGGGGACGGTGGTGACGGCAGCATTCGCAGTAGTATGGCGGCTACTCAACTCTCTTCTCCCTTCCAGGATTCCAACTTCCTCTATTCTAGATGACAGATAGAGTCTGCGAAGCGGCAAAGAAGGGGAATTTACAAACTGATTTACTTAGTTTGATTTGTCTTTGATTTTCGTTAAATTTGATGATTTTGTCATGTGGGTGAGAGTCATGCGGTGGGATTAGGTTGTTTATGCAATGATTTACCTTTTCAATCAATTTTTTACTTGAATTCTACCTCAGGATTTTGCTTTGGTCCTTGGGTGACAGACATGGACCACTTTCCTTCATTTGAATTTCAATTTAGCTTCTTACTACAAAATGATGGTTTTAATCTAGTCCCAGCTTCAAACCCGATTGGACTTGTACATATTTTGTTCATCCTCTCCTTTTCCCGTCTTTCCTCTTTTACTAATCAGAAGCTAGGAATTGGGAGACTCTATGCTTCACAGTTTCTCCCATTCTTATTTGATTTTAAACCAGAAAAGTGTTTGAGAGCAGACAGTTGGCATGATCAATTCTATGGTTATCCCTGAACTCACCAGAATTTTGAAGATAATTTTGAAATTTTAAGTTCAGTTCTAAATGCTAATTTGATATGTTTTAACTTAATGACAAAAACATGACGTTTGGACTCGGTTTATCATCAAACATATTTGACGAACTTATCCCCCAAGAAAATTGTTGGGGCTTTGGTTGCTAAACCTATTCATTTTCTCCGTTTGTTTGGTGCTCCATTAATTTTTCTGGCATGCTCCCATATCATAGAGGGATGTCTTGACATTCTAAACGAAAATTATGTAGTTAATCATAGGTTTTTTTTTTTAAACTTTAACCAAATTCATATTCCCTTGGGGATGAAGCATGAAAGATTAAGGCAAGTAAGAGAAATTTTCTCAGCTGGAAGGTGCATTTTTTTACTTTTTTCGAGTTTTGTCATCCGGTGTGGGGTCTTGGGAACATCTAGACATGGTTTTACCCCATAAGGGGGGGGGGGGGGGAAGATGAGACATTTCCTCGTCATTTGCATGTTTTTAACTTGTGTATAGAGAGCTTTTGGCCGATGGTACACAATTGTATCAAACATCACTAGATACTAAGGAATTGTTATAACTGATATTTGTATCTAATTTTTTTTTACTAGACATGTACTTTTTCTTGAGTTCAATGTGGTCAAAAAAAACATAAACCTGCTTATGTTTCTATAAACATTTTTGTTAAGTTTTGGCACCCCAAATAAATTTTAAAGTTAACAAACACTAAGGACCCAACTAATTTAATTTGACCTACAGAATATCGTAGTACAACAAGGTTACTGTTTAATCATATCAAGTTTGCATCGTTGGAGGACCCAACATAGCAAAGTGATAATTTAAGCCTATCAAGAGCTACATGGCGTTAATGCTGATATCTTAGTGTATTAAGTTTACACAATGAAATAGTAGACCATAAAAAGTTACAATATAAGTAAATGGGAAGTTACATATATGTATACAATTTTTTGGACAGAACTTGATAAAAAATTGTTTATGTTAATGTAAACATATCTGTTTAGTTCTGAAAACCCCAAATAAATTTTGACGCAAATTGAAGCTTATGGTGAAAAAAAGTATTTCCTCTTCACTCTTCTTGGTTGACCATTAAATTAGGCATTATTCTCACTCCCATTGCTCAGAGTGGGAACTTCGCCCACAAAGCGAAGACAGGGGAGCCTAATTTCGTTAAACCGACGAGATCTCTCTCAACAAGATAGGGAATCGGCGGATCAATGGGCCCCAGCACGAAGTGTGAACTCGACACACGCTCTCCGGCACGAAGCAGAGACAAATAATCGGAGAGGGGATTCGTGCGTGGAAAGGCGAAGCGAGGCCTTCACCTTCTTCCTCCAGTATTTTATGATTTTCCTTCCATTGACGAAGAAAACTCACTTCTTGATGAAAAGAAGCATGGCGACGAGGTAGTTGGGAACCGATTCGTCTTCTGACACATGCCTGGGATAAGCTGCGACTTCAAAACGGGTCACGTTATTGGGATGGATTTGTATGGCAAGAGGGAGAGTGCTGACGAGAAGACATGGCGCCCAGACCTCGCCAGGTTGACAGAGTTTAGGCAGCTAAGGACGTTGAATTTGGGAGCCAATGACATGGGCAGTGGCATTCCAGAAGGTAAGCACCTCCCACTAATCGTGACAAGCAACTGGTTCATTTAGTTCACTTTTTACTCCAGATTCCCCTTCATCAATGCGAGTATTCGGTTTACTTATTATATTTGCGTCTCATGTGTCTTATTAGATCATACGCATAAGAATTTTCTCTCTTCCTTTTCTTTCATTTTTTTTTCAGTTATATACGACTTGAAGCTCCTAAAGGCTCTGGACCTGTCATTCAATAAGTTAGAGGGTCTCATCCCAGCATGTTGGTGCACCTTGAGATTCCTAAATAAATTTGATCTATCTGATAACACTTTGGGAGGTGACATACCTTCCTGTTTCGGCAGTTTTCTTTCCCTGACACATCTCTATATGTCTAACAACCTGTTCCAAGGGAACTACTCATCCTGGTTGTGCAACATGCACTCCTTGGCACACCTCTTTCTATTTAATGATAGATTCCCAACCAACATTCCTTCATACCTGGGCAACTTGAATAAGCTAAATTCCTTGAGTCTTAGTAGTGATGGGTTTAAGGGGAGTATCTCTCCTCCATCTTCAGTAATCTAAGAGAGCTGAACCCTCTTTTTATCGACAGTGGTGGGTTGGAAGGAACTTTACAGTTTTCGGTGTTCAGCAAACTTTCCAAACTTGAAGATATTAGTATTATCTCTAAAGGTGGTTTAGAAATCAACACGGAGTACCCCATTTCTTGGGTGCCATCATTTTGGCTCCAAAATTTGTATATAGAAGATTGTGCAATTAATAGTGGTAGAGGTAAAAGACTTCCTACCTTTCTCTAGACCCAAGATAAACTATAATATTTGAGTTTTTCTAGCACCTCAAGCACAGGGACACCACCCATTGGTCTATTTTGTAACTCCACCTTATTTACACTAAATCTGAAGTAGAATAAATTTTCTGGCTCATTACCTCTCCCTTGTCACAATGTGTCTCAAAATGTTGAAACCATAGATTTATCCTTTAATGATATGCATGGGCCTTTACTTGAGAATATCAGATTTTCTTTTTCCAAGTTGTGGATTGATAAGTCTTCATTATCATGAGTTAATAATTAGTAAATAATATATTTTTAGCCTTAAATCATGATAAATAGACTTATATTTATATTAAAGTGTGAAAAGTGATTTTTAGTTGATTAACATGAATTTTTGAATAATTATGTGATTTTATAAAAATTTATATAATTTTTATAATCTTACTTTTGAGATAAATAAAGAAAAAGAAATAAAAATAAAAATATAACAAAATGAGGGGGACCGTCGGCCAGCCAAGCTTGCAAGCGTGTCGGAAGTGCAATTAGGGAGGAGCTGTGAGCAGGGGCTCAAGTAGCTAGGACTGATAGGGGCACATGTACACCACTCTCCTTCCACATCACCAGTGCCTAGTTAGCTATGAGGCAAGGAGTGGTCGTCATACATGAACGAGAAAGGAACTTGATTACAAATGTAATATTACTATATAGTCACCCGAAACTTTGGCACACAAGTGATGTGGGACTAAACCCATGTCACACCTTCCCCAAAAAGGGTTTGATGTTTTGAATACCTAAAATACCCCTTATTTATAATAGAGATATACCATGATGATGTCATTTGATAAAGACATTAGAGTACTTATGTCAATCTATCTCATACAAGTGGGCAACCGACGTGGGTTTAAATCTTTTTAGAACTAAAACTCATATTTTTTATCTAATTATCGTGACTTTCTTGTAGATCACTAATGAAGAATTAAACCATTAGAATCGATACATCATTGGTGAAAATCTCGTCAACGCTATTCAGGGAGCATTGTTACTAAAATTATTGAACGATTCATGATAAAAAGATCATGAATCTATTGAGTAAAGTATCTTCGATTGATCGCAAATAAGTTGTCATTGGGAAAAAGATGATTTACTAAGAGATGAGTTACCACCTCCTGAGAGCGTACTAAATGCGATGAAGAGTCTCCTCTTATTGTGCAAACCTAAGGATGAAGATCCTTGACACGTGCCCCACCTCCATCCAGCTCCTCTCTATCGGGTGACAACTATTAGAGAGCCATAAAGTTGTCATTTTTCTACTCTACCGGGTGACAGCCACTAGAGAGGATTTGAGGAGATCTAGACTTTGCAAGGAGATTTAGAGATTGTCCACTTCTTCTTTGTCTAAAGAGAGCATTCGAGGTCATGGACACTACACAATGATCCTCCCGAATGCTCATAATTCTAGTGTATCATCGACGCATCGCTACTATGACATCAGAATTCTATTTTTTTACTTTCAACTTACTTTCCACTTCATTTAATGATAATTTTTGTGATTTAAATTTACTAAGATATACTTCATTCAATTACGATTATTTCAGCTTTTATAAATCTTAATTTGATCAATTAAATCATCTATAATTGCTTATGAAAGAATTACTAGATGGAACTCTATTCTACTCGATTTGTGTTCGCCAAGCATTGATGTCATCATGATGTCTGCACCCTTATTTCCTTTTTTCATGAATTTTAAATATATTTTATTTTTATTTTCAAATATTAAATTAATAAAAAATAGTATTTTTTGAAGAAAATTCTGAATATTACATCCCTATGATCAATCTAGAAAATTATCACTATTTTTAGAAGTTTTATTAAATTATAATTGATATATTTATTCATAAATACTTCTAAATATCTGAAATTTATATTTTTTAGTTTTATAAATTTTAAATTTACATGATTTACTATACAATGACTAATTCACGTCATGAATCTTTAGGATTACAAGCAATGACTTGGATGAGCATATTCCTCTATCCTTGGGCCAACCCTATTTGAACTAGATTTGAGTGACAACAATTTGTCAAGAAAATTACTGTATACTTTGATGCATAATCAAAGCAAGCTATTGTATTTAAATATGTCCTGAAATCACCTCGAAGGAGAGATGCTCCCTATTGATGCTGATATGCTAGGTATAAGATATACAAGTATTAAGAACAACTATTTCACAGGTTTGCTTCTTTCAAGGTTCTCTAACTCTTCTGGTTTATTAATCATTGACGCTGGATGCAATAGCTTTAGAGACAATTTCTCTAATAACCTATGCTATTTCCCCCAAATGTCAGTACTTTCCTTCAAAGAGAATCATATGCAAGGTTACTTACCCAAAGAGTTATGCCAAATGCAATATCTACATTTGCTTGATCTTTCTAGAAACAACTTATCAAGAAACATTGTACCTTGTCTTCACAACGTTTCGTTTTGGAGATCAACAAGACCAAATAAAGGCCTTATATGGATGGATAGTAGAGCACAATATGCACGTGTATTCATCATATCAAAGAATTTGGTCAATCCATATGAAGGGGATCCTCTACAAGGGATGACTATTTTTGATGTATCAGTGAACAGGATCAGCAGCATCATTCCTCAGGAAGTTGGAGAATTGAAGGGACCTCGGTCATTGAATTTATCAAATAATCACATCCAAGAGTTTATACCTATGACAATGGCATATATGGAAACCATTGAAAGTTTAGATATCTTGCATAAAGGCTTAAGTGGTTCTGTTCCCCACGAAATGGTTCAAATCTCCTCCCTTACAACTTTTAATGTTGCATTCAACAACTTGTCTGGTATGATTCCTTATGGTGGACAGTTTATGAAGGTAATCTCGGATTATGTGGAAAGCCTCTTGAAAAGGCTTGTTCTTCTAAGAAGGAGGGAGCGAAAAAGATGACAGATAATGGAGAAAATAAGGGCAACTCAAAAGATCTTAATGATGCTTTATTTTATTCACTTGTTATAGTGTCATTTATTTTGGGTTTTTGGGGGCTTCTGGCTAGCGTTTTTTTCAATATAAGTTGGAGGAGGAAGTATTTTAAAATCATTGATGAATACTACAATATTTACCTAAGTGACTTTTAGAAATTTTCAAGTTCTAGATAGTAGCTATATCTGTACATGAAGGTTTTCAGGTAAACTGATAACCATTTTCCAGCTATATCTGGACATGAAGCTTTTAGTAATTAGTGTTTCAATTAATATGTTAATATCTAGTGGATTGTCAGGAATTATCTTCCACAATGTTCTTTTCAGTTCCTATAGTTTTGGAAAAATACCATGTCCAAGTGTATTGGTAAAATACCTCATATCCTTGGGAGGAACTTTATATAAATCATTTTTAAATTAATATCTTAATTATTTTGCAATGGTGAAAGCATTTGTAAATGGAGAATATGTAAAGGATGGCTACACTATTGGACTAGAATATGCTGCATATTCATTTGGCACAACATCGATTTTGTTAGATTCTCACAAGAAAGTTTTACATGAATTTGTCAGAGAACAGCACAACCTATGACTTTCCTCTGAATGATCATGTTGAAGTAGCTATTTTTATCAAGATGTTTTGTAGGAATGAAGTTACATTGATCAGTAAGAATAAGGACTTTTAAGCAATCATAAGGCGTGAAATAAATTAGGCACTGAAATTTATATTTGAAAAAGGACCTTGGAGGATAACATGAAGGGCAAGTTGGAATACACAATGTGTTGAATAGATGAGCTACTCCAACGTAATTAAATAGTTACAGGCGTCAAAAAAAGAGAGTTACATAAAAAATGTTTATTAAAAGAGGACTCATCCTTAATTCAGAGCATAGTTCGTCAAAGCATTTAGATTTCCTTTATATTTGAATCAACAATATATACATCCGCAGGGGTCTAGGTGCACTTTGTGCATTTTCCTTGTGAATTAAATCGTTATCCTTTTTGCATATAGAAGCACCTTACTGCATTTATGGCGGACCATCAATGCAATGGCCAGAGGGATATGCCCATATGCTGTATGGGCCATCGTCATTGATTGCAACTGTCTTATTCTTTGAACCATCTTTTGGTGAAGGATTGTAAGGGTAGTAAACAGAACCAGCTTATGAACTAGTCGTTAGTGATGTATGCTGGCAGATCGAAGGTGAAACCAGCCGTTCTCCCATCACATCGCTCTATTCCATGGAATATGAATCCACTCTTCGGATAAGGAGATCGATGGCGGACAATGGCATGCATGTTACGATTGAAAGAGCGTCAAGAAGGAGGATAGGCCTTGCAGGCAGTGAAACCTTGCATCAGTATGACTGGAGGATGATTGATGTCAACGAAGTGATACCAGCTGCCAATGGCACTCCTGCATTTTCAGAGGCTGTGTGCTTGGACTTATTTCATTCAGTCTCTGACAGCTCACTCCATCTACAAAAAAATATGGTGTTTTTTGCAACTTCCCTAGATTCCCCACATTTGTAAGGTTCGTGTTTATTCTGCAATTTTTTTCTGCGACAAACTTGTCGGAGGACTCAGACCATGATTTATGTGGAGCTTGTGCTCCGTGATTTAACTAACTCAATTTTTCAAACACCATATCAAAGTACTGATAATTTGAGTATCTTGAAGATGACCACAATATAATAAGAGTAATTTAGATTTTTCCGTAAATGAGAAAATGAATGTGTGGTTCCATGTAATTCTAATGTTAAATAGGAGGATGATTAAACATAGTGTTTAATAGTTTAGAATACTCCTCCATTTTCTTGATTTTATTTCAGGTTTAAAAGAGGAGAAATTAAGTTATTATTGGGCCCAAAGGATATGTAAAGTACATTTTTATTTTTAGCATGTATTAGATTTATTTTCTGATGTTTTATTTGGTCTTGTCCAAAAACGATAGGAACCAGAAAGAATATTGTGGAAGATAATTCTCTTACAATCCACTAGATATTACCATACACAATCATTAAAACAATAATTACAAAAGAAGATTATCACTTTGCTCGAAGACCTTCATGTCCAGGCACATCTATTATCTAAAACTTATAATTTTTCAAATGTTGCTTAGGTACATATTGTAGTATTCATCAATGATTTTGAAATACTTCCTCCTCCAACTCATATTGAAATAAACGCTGGCTAGAAACCCCGAAAAACCCAAACTAAATGATACTGTAACAAGTGAATAAAATAAAGCATCATTAAGATCCTTACAGTTGTCCTTGTTTTCTCCATCTTCTATCATCTTTTTCGCTCCATCCTTCTTAGTAGAACAAGCCTTTTCAAGAGGCATTCCACATAATCCGGGATTACCTTCATAAATACTCTTCAGAAAAGTTGAGAACTGTCCACCGTATGGGATCATACCAGACAAGTTGTTGAATGCAACACTAAAAGTTGAAAGAGAGGAGAGTCGAATCATTTCGTGAGGAATAGAACCACTTAAACTATTATGTGAGAGATCTAAACTTTCGATGGTTTCCATATCTGCCATTGTCATAGGTATAAAACCTTGAATGTGATAATTTGATAAGTTCAATGATCTAAGTCCCTTCAGTTCTCCAATTTCTTGAGGAATGATGCCAGCAATCATGTTCACTGATAAATCAAGGATAGACATCCCTAGTAGAGGATCACCTTCATATGGATTGACCACATTTTTTGACACGAAGAATAAACGTGGATATAGCGCCACGCTATCTATCCATATGATGCCCTTTTCTGATGTTGTAGATCTCCAATATGAAATATTGTGAAGACAAGGTAAAATTTTTCCAATTAAGTTGTTTTGTGAAAGATCAAGATAACGTAGATACTGCATTTGACGAAACTGTTTGGGTAAGTAGCCGTGCATTTGATTCTGTTTCGAGGACATTATTACAATATTAGGGAAATAGGGTTGGTTGTGAGAGAAATTGTCCGTAAAACTATTATATCCAGCATCAATGATTGACAAACTAGAAGAGTTGAACAACCTGGAGAGAAGTGAACCAGTGAAATTGTTGTTGTTGGCAATCAGATATCTTAATCTTGGCATATTAGCATCAACTGGGAGCATCTCTCCATCGAGGTGATTGTAAGACACATTTAAATATGACAATTCGGTCTGATTTCTCGTCAAAGTGTGCGGTAGTTTTCGTGATAAATTGTTGTCACTCAGATCTAGTGAAAATAGAGGTGCATGTTCCAAGGACTCGGGAATGCTCTCTTCCAACTGGTTTCCTGCCAAGTTCAAGGTATACAACATGGGAAAAGAATGGGTGATATTGTTAGGCAGCAACCCATATAGATCGTTGAAGGACAAATCGATCCGAATGGCATCTTGAGAGACACTGTGACAAGGGAGAAGCAATGGGCCAGAAAACAGATTCCTTCTTAGAACCAGTGAAGATAAAGTAGAGTTGCAAAAGAGACCAGTGGGTGATGTTCCCATGACTGACGTGCTCTCAAGAAACAAGTGTTTTAGTTTATATTGGGTGAAGAGAAAGATGGGAAGTCTTTTACCACTGCGTCTATTAACTGCACAGTCACTAATAGACAAATATTCGAGTTGAAAAGATGGGACCCAAGAGATGGGGTACTCTGTGTCAATCTCGAGACCACCGTTGGAGGAGACAGTAAGATATTTAATTTTGGAAAGGTTTGCAAACACTGAAAATTGTAAAGTTCCTTTCAACCGAACATTATCAATAAAAAGAGTGTTCAAGTCACTTAGATTACTGAAGATGTAGGAAGGGATGCTCCCGTTGAAACCATCACCAGTAAGACTCAAGGAAATGAGCTTATTCAAGTCGCCCAAACATGAAGGAATGTTGCTTGCGAATTTGTCATTAGACAGAGAGAGATCTGTCAAGGAACGTATGTTGCATAACCAGGATGAGTAGTTCCCTTGGAACTGGATGTCAGACAAGCTGAGACGTGTCAAGAACTGAAAACTACCAAAACAGGAAGGGATGTCACCTCCCAAATTATTACCAGAGAGATCGAGCTCACTTAGGGATCTCAAGGTGCACAAACATGATGGGATGGAACCCTCGAATTCATTCGATGACAGATCTAGAGCCTTCAAGAGCTTCAACTGGCAAATAACTGCGAGACAAATGAAAGGAAAGAAAGAGAGAAATTTCTCATTCATGTGCTCCAGTGAGATTGATAGGAGTGCGAATATAATAAATCTAGAGGAGGTAAATGAACCGGTTGCTTGTCACGATTGAAGTTACTCACCCTCTGGAATGCCACCGCTTATGTGATTAAAGGCCAAATTCAACGTCTCTAACTGCTCAAACTCTGCCAACATGGTGAGATTTGGGCACCATATATCCTCTTTAGTGATCCACCTTTCGTAGAACAAATTGATCCCGACCACATCCCCGGTATTGTGGTCACAGGTTATATCAGATCAGTGGCAGCAGTCTTTTCCCTTTTTTGTAGTTGAGTCGCGCCAGTCGGGGAAGGCCGAGCCATTGAGGAAATTGAAAACGTTCTTGATCTCGAGCAAAACCCTCCGCTCCTTGTCATGGCAACCCTTCCCTTTTGCATCCCAGACAAGACGTTGCCAGGATGATGAGAACGATCATCAGCCTTCCCAGGCGCAAGGCCATTTCAGGAGCAGCAGCAGAAGCATAAGAAGAAGAAGTCGTCTTTCTTACTCAAAGCGACCACAGGTTCCCTCTTTATCGACTTGTTGACTCGTCGACGACCCCATAGAGGAAGATTTTTCTTCATGAAACAGTGTGACAAGCTAGGGGGAACAACTGGACCCCCACTCATTTGGTTGGCTGGCATCGCTGTCTATGACCGACTGTTAGGTTTCCCCTGTGGATGGGAATACGCCATTGACTTCGTAAGTCAAGCAGTGTATTGGCTCGACTCTGTTCATTCATTTGAAGCCTTTTATTTTTATCTCGATAAAGATTAGATTCGTGCCAATCTGTATAGAATTCGTTTTTTTTTTCTAAAATCCAGTGAGAGAGAAGAATAAACTTTTGAGGAGGGTACGGGGTGCATCTCAACTTCCATCCTCCTTGAAAATCTCTCTTACTCGTTCGTTAGAGCATATCTTTTGCTTACTTTTTATATCTCTCTCTGGAACTGGACTAACGATGGGTTATGCACTGTCTCTCGCACATATGAGGCTGTTATACAGAGGGTTAGGATGTTTATATCTCGGAGGATAAGAAGGGTTCGGCCACTGGATCTCACTCAAGAAGGATTCCAGTCGTTGTCAACAAGCGGAGAATCATAACCAGTCTAAATAAATAATTTTCTAAGCATGGGTCAGACAGAAGACGATCCCTTCCTCAACAATTGCTGAAAAGTCTGCAACGGAGATGCTGGCTCATTTGTAAGGGCAATGACATTTGTGAGGCGCTTGCACTGCAGACTCATAATCTCCCTCTCTCTCTCTCTCTCTCTCTCTCTCTCTCTCTCTCTCTCTCTCTTGTTGGCAATGCAAGAATCCGAAATCAAGGTACAATGACAAAAGATAGCATATAATTAAGTACGACGTTACGAGAAAGGAGGCCAACTCAAATGCTTAACTGGTTTGGGAGAGAGCCTACTTCAGGCTCAGAGAAAGTGCAGGTTTGACGAACGCAAGGATTAACAAAGGCCTGGGCCCCAGCATCTCTAGTCCGGTCAAAAGCGTGGACCCGGACTACTAAGACTCTTAGTTGTCTGCGGTCGTCAACGTCTTTTCTCCCTGTCGTCACGTCACACGACGACGGACTATTGACAAATTAAAAAGTCTCATAAGTGGGTGATGCGGGACAACCCGCTCATGGGCTTGGTGTAATATTTGACAGTTGACCTTGATTATTGACTGTTGACTGTTCACAAGGCTGAACGGGCTGATCACGTGGACTGGCTCGAACCAGTGGGGCAGCTGGCGCGGACCAGCTGGCGCGGACCAGCTGGCGCGGTGGCGTCGTCGGCGAAGGCAGGAGGAGGAGGTGGCGACGCTGGCGTGAGCCACTGCAGTGGCCGGATATTGAGGACTCCGCCTCGGCGGCGGCGCAGCAGACGGCGGCGTCTGGCTTCTGGGACGACTCGGCGACGGCGCAGGCGGCGGCGTCTGGCAACTGGGGCAACGTGGCGACGAAGGAGGCGGGTCATCGGGGCTGAAGCGGAGGAGGCGAGAAGGGCGACGGCGCCCGGAGGACGCGCGACGGAGGCGCGTCGGGCCGCAAGCTCCAACCGGGAGCGGCGGTGGACCTCGCGACCAGCCCCTTGACCGGGGGCAGCGGTGGTTCTCGCGACCAGTTCCAAAACAGGGTGATTTTGGTTAATTCTAACCAAATCATTATAAACTCATTTATTCCCTCTTTTTTTTTTTTTGTAATCGTCATTACAAGGAGGCGTCGATTCACCAAACGACGCGTTGACGCGGCAACGACACATCAGCGGAGGGATGATGGGGAATAGTGATGATGTGGCCGGCTCTGATGACGTGGTCGTCGCTGCTGACGTGGCAGATCCGATCCCCATGAATGGGTCTAGTTCGTCGTATAAAAGAAAAGAAAAAATTACCTATGACTGTTAATGGACGAACTGTAATGTCAGTAAAAGGAAATTTTATTTTCTAGACGTGTCAAGAAATTCAGCTCCTTGCCCACTTGCTCCTTGGCTAGTGATGTTGGGCCAGCGATCTACGTAAAACTACTTAGCTCACCTTCACTTTCTTCAAAGAACAATCAGCCGGCAACATTGTTGAAGGATCAATTCGATGCATACTTGATGTTGTCTTTGCCGGATCAATTCAACTATCCTCTCCTCTTTTCCATCATCCCGTTACGATCATCTACATGCACACGAGAGAAAGAGAGAGAGAGAGAGAGAGAGAGAGAGAGAGAGAGAGAGAACTAGAAGAAAGAGGGGACGAGAGAGAGAGGGCGTGAGAGAGAGAAGATGGAAGAGAGAAAGATAGAGAACGTAGAAGAGAGAGAGAGGACGGCGCGTTAGAGAGAGAGAGAGAGAGAACTAGAAGAAAGAGGGGACGAGAGAGAGAGGGCGTGAGAGAGAGAAGATGGAAGAGAGAAAGATAGAGAACATAGAAGAGAGAGAGAGGACGGCGCGTTAGAGAGAGGGAGAGAGAGAGAACTAGAAGGAAGAGGGGACGAGAGAGAGAGGGCGTGAGAGAGAGAAGATGGAAGAGAGAAAGATAGAGAACGTAGAAGAGAGAGAGATACAGAGAGAGGGAGAGAGAGAGAACTAGAAGGAAGAAGGGACGAGAGAGAGAGGGCGTGAGAGAGAGAAGATGGAAGAGAGAAAGATAGAGAACGTAGAAGAGAGAGAGAAGACGGCGCGTTAGAGAGAGAGAGAGAGAGAGAGAGAGAGAGAGGGAGAGAGAGAGAACTAGAAGGAAGAAGGGACGAGAGAGAGAGGGCGTGAGAGAGATAAGATGGAAGAGAGAAAGATAGAGAACGTAGAAGAGAGAGAGACGACGGCGCGTTAGAGAGAGAGAGAGAGTGAGACAGAGTGGGGACGATGTGTGAGTGAGAAGAGAGAGGACCACTTCCCCCACATCTATGAAATAAATGGCCCAAGGGTCGTTTTCAAATCAGCTTCAATTTCATCTTAGGCCGAATAACACATCAGAAAATAAATCAAATTCAGGCTCAAAAGACAAACCACTTTTACATATCCTTGTATGCCCAATAACAACTTTATTTCTCCTCCTCTAATCCTGAATTAAAGATTTAAGTAAATTTAAAGAGTATTTCACACTATTAAACATGATGTTTAATCATCCTCTAAGCAATCTTTGAATTTCTTAGAATCGCTCATTCCTTTGTCACACTTATAAAAAATATCTAAATTACTCTGAATATATTGTGTTTATCATCGAAATGCTGAAATCATCAGTACATTCATATTGAATCTTACATATTGAGTTATTTATCTCATGAAGCAAAAACTGGAGATGAATCATGGTTAGAGCCCTCTCACGTGTTTTCCCATGGAACAAAACTGCATAATAAAATAATGGTCAGACAAATCTCTCCCCTCTCCCCCTCTATCTGCCAAGATAGTCGAAAG